GCAGGCAAGAATTATTCTCTTTCAAAATGTATTGGCTATTCCAAATGAATAGTATATAACACCATCTTTTTAAAACAGGGTTGCAAAGGCATCAGTTTTTTAAATTAGAGTACATTTGATCTTTAGAGCATCAAGGGCACTTTTTTATTTGCATTGAATTATACAATGATAGAAAGGCTACGTTTTGATGACGTAAAAAAACAGTGAAACTTATCTAATACTACATGTATAATGATTTACATTTTGAAACAACAATGCAGTAAGACTTGAGTCTGTTAACCGTTGTTCCTCCATCTTTTTATCCACCAGTCTCTCCTTCCATCGTTCACATCCCTCCGTCTCTCATCCCTCTATCTCGTTAGTGTAATAACCAATTAACTCCGGTTTTTGGTTGCTTCAATTTCTTTCTTTATTTCCTCATTAATTAATTTCCTGTTGAAAGCGCACTCCGATGTGATTGACAGCTCACGCTAATTGCACTCCAGACTGTGAGTGTGCACGAGCACAAGCAAACGTACACACACACACACACACACACACACACACACACACACACACAATCTTGTTGACACACTTGTATGCAAACTAGCACACATTGAGAAATGCTTTCTAGCTGTGCACACACATTACAGAAAAAAACATCCATTGCTGCAAATACACACCGCACTCACACACATAGAGGGATCAGTGTGATGCCTTTAATTCGATTTGGCCTATCAGCCTCCAACTCAGAGAGGGAGAGAAGGCAGATTACTGCTGCCCTCCATAATGGCCTTCCACCACTTGATCTGAGATTATGGACGAGGCAGACGACTTCAAGGTTACTACACTATTCAGGGGACACATTAGGACAGGTGTTTAATAAAAACCCTAACAAAAATGTCACAAATGTCATATAAAACCACCTTTAAAGTCCTTTGTTTGTGTACAAATGAAAGGGGGCTGATTTTGCATCCTTACATGATTTATTTTCTTCTTCAAAATGGAAAATCACATGTGAAAAAGTGTTTCAGATACATATTCACAGAATGATCCACATTATTTAAAACCAGCATCTCTATGATTTTCCATAGCTGTTAGAAGATGGATTTGAACACTTTCTAAAACTCTGTTGAATAAGCTGTATGACAAGATAAAGAACTCCCCAATCAGCTAAAGTCACTTTTCTGTGTACATGAGTGATTACAGGCACACATCAGCAGCACAACTGATTTTCAAAAGACTGGATTGAATCCATGACACACACACACCAAACATGCATACAGACTGAAACACACCCTCGGGCCTTTTCCTTATCATGTCCAGACTGATTCCTATGGGGACATACAGCTCATGGTTTATTCTTACCCCCAGCAATCTATAATTCATCAGCTAATAGCATTTTACAAGCATAATTGAGTGAACTCTTTCAAACTTTTCAGCCTATAGCTATGGACTAAAAGGAAATATCCCCGACCATTTACCAAGTCTTTGCTCTTAATGTGCATATTATACATTTAGCCTGACCTTTTTCAAGGGTATCCTATACAGTTTTTCTTTATACTTTTTTCCTAATGCCTAGCTATTGGTTTTCTTTTATTTAGCCTCACAACAACAATGTAACGCAACTACTGCAGTCTTAATGTTCACTGCTATGGATTCATCTTAATCTATTTTCAACTATCAAAACAAGTGTGCAGCTCTTTCTCTCTACACTCTTTTTGCCTTTCCCCTAATTTTCCATTTCCGCGCTGCAACCATCTTTAAAAAGGACCAACCCATAAACAAATTTCCCCCATAATAAAGTACCTTTTTTACCTGACTCCATTACACCAATATGTTTCATAATAATAATTATAGTTAACGACGGTGTACTCGTGTGTGGTTTGGAATTAGTGTAGTTATATGTGCGAGTTGTGTGAGGGGGAGGTGAGTGTGTGTACAACCATGTGTGTTTTCTACGTGTATTGTGAGCATCGCGGAGGCTTTCCCTGTGTGCCTGTAAAAAGCACGCTGGGAGAATCTTTGATGCTAATATGAAGTGTCATATCTTCCCCTCGCAGTGTGTGTGTGTGTGTGCGTGCGTGTTTGTTGTGTGTGTGGGTATATACAGTATGTGTGCAGTGAGAACTTACGCAATTACAGTTCCCTTTTGCATTACCACGCTGACTAAAATACTGATGGACGTACAGCCCTAAGCTGACACAAGTAATCACTCCGCCTGTGTGTGTGTGTGTGTGTGTGTGTGTGTGTGTGTGTGTGTGTGTGTGTGGTGTGTGTGTGTGTGTGTGTGTGTGTGTGTGTGTGTGTGTGTGTGTGTGTGTGTGTGTGTGTGTGTGTGTGTGTGTAACAGGTACACACACACACTAATTCTTGGCTTAATGTTTTGTGACTTAGAGTTCTGTGTTGTGGGCAGATTGGACAGACACATTACTGGTGCACAAACACACACACTGTCTAAGAATAGTCAGTTCACACAGTGGTACTGAGGCTCAGAAGGCCACCAACTGTAAAAGGATTTTCATCATTTGAGTTCTGAAGGCAGAGCTGATCCGTACAGCAGGTCCTCTTCCACTCCTCCAGCCTGAGAGCCGGGAGAGATACCGTCTCCCACCCTGGGACATTAATCAGCTCATTACTGTTCTTTCTTTTAAACCACTGGAAGTAAAGCTCCCTCCCCCGTCTGCATTATAAAACTGCTGCTACAACCATTACATCTAAAGAAGCCTCTACTTAAACGGAAAATATGATCACAGCAGGGTATCTATGACCATCAAGGCTCTTACTAATACTATATATATGTTTCTACTGGTATATTACTTCTCTATCAAATCTGCTATTTTACATTGACCTTACAGTACCACTGTACCACAGTCTTCATATCATAGAGAAGTGATTGTAGCATCATGAAGCCTACATTCATCAGATTTTTCTGTATCAAATATGTCCTTGAACTTGAAAATAAGACAGATCCACTTATTAGCTTTTAATCATATGGATAAACAAAAATCCGCTGATGAAGACGGAAGTGTGATTTGGTTGAAAGCTGCACAACAAACCTGTCAGTAGAATTATGTGAAGATTATACAGAAATGAAGAATTATATATATTTAGTCACACAATCTTAGCATACACAATATATACTTTTCTTTATTTTGTGAAATATGTAACTCTAATTTGTGTGAATCATTTTTCTTTTGTCAAGCATGAAAAGTAATACAGAAAAGTGATCAAAATGTATCAAATGTCAAATCTCTTTGAAAGCATACAAACCTTTTAATATCAAGAATAGAAAATGGATACAAAGGTAGAGAGTGCAATAAAAACAAATACTGGAAGGATCCTGCTGCGTAGCCACAGGTGGTTTACATTGTTTTCTTCATGGCTCTATGCCGTTGCCATGACACTATCAGCAGGTGCTAATAATGTTTGCAGTGATTTGCCCTTTTGGAAAGTGAGGCACTTTGGGATTTAAAGCCATGATCTCTGATGATATAGTATAAAGTATAAACACTACATCTTTTTCTTTTTCTTTATTTTGTATGAATCGTTTATTTAGCAGGGACAATGCACATTAACGAACACTTAAAACAAGAAAATGCAAATACTGTAAATATGCCGGTCTGCCACATCCTCCAATCTATCTTCTAATAATATTACCTTTCCCATCCTCCTGCTTAACATCTCTTCAAACGTATGTATTTGACTCTATTTTAGGGCTGCACGATTTTGTGAAAAAATCTAATTGCGATTTTTCTGACAAATATTGCGATTGCGATTCGAATTGCGATATTTGTTTTTAAGCGACCCAACGGAAGTTTATTGTAAAATGCGGCCATATCTCCGGCTAGGAAGGTCGTATCAACGTGCTCGCGTCTCTAGCACCCCCACAGTCCGAGCTACGAGTGAAAGAACTAAACTTACATGAAACTTCCGTTGGGTTGCTTTAAAGTCAAGCTTCAGTTTAAGATTCACCCTGTAATAGAAACACGTGATGGAGCAGTACTAACCTGACTCAGATGCTTTGTTTCACCAAACCATCTAATGGCGCATTTCCACTGCAGCGGGTAGCCCCGTTTAAGCGTCCTCAAGCGGCCAGGCCAGTTTTTGGTGGTCTTTCCATATAGCCTAGTACCGGCCAGCGGGTACTTTTTCCGGCCCCATAAAATCGTGGTTCTATCAGACCAGGGCCAGGGCTGAACTAGTGACGTCAACACTCTCGACTGCTGATTGGTCAGAGAGAATCGTCACAAGATCGCGCGCGAGTTCATCCCTAGCGTCGCATATATATTTAGAAGCAAGCTTGCAGCATTTTTATAAACAGCATTTTGTAAACGGATGAGCTACAAAAATGGCTACGTCTAATAAGAAAAGCACACCGTGGTCGACCGAGGAGGTGACGACGTTCCTACATCTCATTGGGGATGATCAAATCCAGCGGGAGCTCGACGGAACAACTCGAAATGTGAACAAAAACAAAGCCGATCGCCCCGCCTACACTGCGTTGCTACCCCAGGTCCTAAACTGTAATGGAAATGCGCCACGGCCTCGGACGGCCAGCGAGGCAGCCCGATGCCTGAGCGAGGACGCTTAGGGACGCTTAAACGGGGCTACCCCGCTGCAGTGGAAATGTGCCATAAAGCTCCATTGGAAGCCATTTGGAAAGGGCAGGCACTTTCAGAAGCACTTGGCAGGTGATTGGATCAATCTGTCTATCACCTTCTATCATGGGCTACTTCTGATTGATTAACAATGGCTGGTACATGTGGAGCACAGCACTTCTGATTGGTGTGGATGACTTACACTCAAGAAGAAACAAAAAAAAATTGTTAAAAAATAAATAAATTGTAAAATAAAAAAAATAGTTATAAAAAATCGCAGGCTTTGCGATTTGATAATTGCATCATTTCAAATCGCGATTTCGATTTAAAATCGATTAATCGTTCAGCCCTACTCTATTTGTTTTTATGTACTGGTCTATTTAACTGTCATGAATTCCCCTCTCTCTGTCTTTCTGGCAGCCATCGGTATCCAGATGACTCTGGATGTGTTGGAGTCTAAATTCTGGGCCATTGCAGCACAGGTGAGGACATCACTTCATCACCATTTAATGAATTGTCAGCTATTAATAACGTTATGCTCTCAAAACATGATGTATTGGATCCATCTAAAAAACAAACCCATGAATCATGAACGTCAGGTTCCACTGTGCGTTGTTAAACCTTGTGATCAGAGCAGTATTGCTTTTTTTTCCATCGCAGATTTATAGCTGTTTGTTTTTACTTTTTTATGCCCACTATAAAACAAGTTCATTGCAGCAGTACACTGGCACTAATGAGAGAGACTTGATGTCTTTTTGGTTTGCTGTTATATTGAACAGTGCTAGCGGAATAGAAACAACACAATCATGCTGTTTTATTTTGTAACTGGGAAATAACACTCCCCTTAAACCCAACTTCTGCTGTGTTGTCTGCGGTTAACTGAAAGTGTTAACATCTGTGCAACCATATCGACAGGCTTTGTCATGTTTACTATGTAAATACATTATAATTTATATTCTATAATTGAGCACATTTGAGTTATTACAATAACTATAAATGAGTCTCTAATAGGAGGAGACGGCTCTGTTGATGGATACACTGTCTGCTTCAGGGGGGTTTTACTCCTTTGGCCCCCGTCCTATATTCAGGAAAGTCCCTTTAGGCCACCAGGACATTCTGACATGATTTATTACTATATGAGAAGGAGTCAAGGATGATTATAGGTTATTTCTCTGCTCCATTAGTTGGTACTTAAAGCATTTCATCCTTTGTTTAATATAAGGCTTAATGCAGTGTTTTCCATATCTCTGCAACCAACTTTAAAAGAAGCACTTTCCCTGCCTTAATAGGGGCCCTATTCTGCTCATTTTCAGGTTCATATTTGTATTCAGAGCCTCTACTGGGACATGTCTCCATGCTTTAATGTTCAAAAAGCTCTTTATTGTTCTCCTACTGCCTGTGCTGCAGCACCTCTTTTCACCCTCTGTCTGAAACAGAGCCCAGTCTGCTCTGATTGGTTAGCTGGCTGGCTCTGTTGTGATTGGTCAACTGCTTGTAGATGTCCCACCCCTTAGCCTATCACGTACAATGTGTTGGAGTGCTAGCCAATATAAGTGTGAGTGTTACATAGTGATGTCATTATGAAACGGAAGTAAACAAAGGCTAAAGTGTTAGGCTTTGCAGTTCATTTACATGCACAAACACATACACTATATAGACAAAAGTATTGGGCCACCTACACATTACACCTCCAGGAGCTTTTATGACATCCCATTCCAAATTCTTAGACATTGATATGAAGTTGGTCCCTCCTTTGCAACTTTAACAGCTTCCACTCTAAGGAAGGCTTTCTACAAGATTTTGGAGTGTGAATTTTTGGCCATTCATCCAGAAGAGCATTTGTGAGGTCAGACACTGATGTTGGACGAGAGGGCCTGGCTCTCCGTTCTTGTTCATCCCAAAGGTGTCCAATGGGGTGGGGGTCAGGGCTCTGTGGGGGCCGGTCCAGTTCTTCCACACCAAACTCATCCAACCATGCCTTTATGGACCTTGCTTTGTGCACTGGGGCTCAGTCATGCTGGAACCGAAAAGGGCCTTCCCCAAACTGTTTCCACAAAGTTGGAAGCATAGAATTGTCCAAAATGACTTGGTAAGTTGAAGCATTAAGAATCCGCTTCACTGGAACTAAGGGGCCTAGGCCAACCCCAGAAAAACAACAATAGCATTATCCCTCCTCCACCAAACTCTACAGTTGGCACAATGCAGTCCGGCAGGTAACGTTCTCCTGGCATTCGCCAAACCCAGACTCGTCCATCAGAGGACAGATAGGGAAGTGTGATTGGTCACTCCGCAGAACACGTTTCCACTGCTCCAGAGTCCAGTGGCGGCAGGAGAGAAGACATTTCACAAACTGTCTATATAGTGTATATAACACACTAGGGCTGCACGATATTGAAAAAAACTGACATTGCGATTTTTTGTTCCCCTGCGATATATATTGCGGTTTTTTTAACCTGTTAAGCCCCAAGGTCCCGGCGGGGACTCTACTTTTTTTTTCACGACACTGTGTCTCAGGGGATCTTAATATTTAAGAACCTATTAATGTGTTATACCAGATTAACAGAAATAATCTCAGCTAACTGACGATACAAACCATTTTTACCAAAACAAAACACAAGTCTCATAAGAAGCATCTAAATGACCCCTGAGCGAAAAATGCTAACGGACTTTGGCACAGAACTCAAGATAAAAGTACCCTTATTACTTATCGTAGCTGCACATACAAGATATCCGATTAAAGCTGAGGTTCCACAGATTATTTAGGTATATAGTATCATCACTGAGTGATCCGAACTCGCGACAGGGGAAGCAAACACAGACATCACAACACGTACCTTTACGGAGCTTCTAGGGGAGATCGTCTCACCGTAGCTGTCAATCTGATCAAAAGACGTGTTCAATGGCATTAAAACGAGAAAAAACGCGGCTGAATCGGTTAATCCATAGGTTTTTAACGTCTCTGTATACATTTTTTTTATTTTATATTTCATTTATAATCCATAATTCAATTTTTATGTAAAAATCGCAGAGCAAAAGTTAGCTACTAATGGTAGCCACCAGAGTGGCTGCTGCTTCCGGTCTCGGCTATGCGGCAGTCTAACACACACACATTACCAAATAAGGAGAGAGTGACGCGTAGCCAAAACCGGAAGCTGCATACACTCTGGTGGCTACCATTAGCAGCTAACTTTTGTGCTCCGATTTTTACATAAAAATTGAATTATGGATTATAAACAATTGCTTCAAAGCCACAGATACATTATTAACCTATGGATTAACCGATTCAGCCGCGTTTTTTCTCGTTTTAATGCAATTGAACACGTCTTTTGATCAGATTGACAGTTACGCTGAGACGATCTCCCGTAAAAGCTCCGTAAAGGTACGTGTTGTGATGTCTGTGTTTGCTTCCCCTGTCGCGAGATCGGATCGCTTAGATACTATACTTAAATAATCTGTGGAGTCTCAGCTTTAATCGGATATATTGTATGTGCAGTTTCGATAAGTAATAAGGGTATCTTTATTTTGAATTCTGTGCTAAAGTGCGTTAGCATTTAAAAAAAGAATAAAACCGCACGTCCCTGCGGTGTGAATATCGCGCATGCGCATATCGTGGTTATCGCCATGACACGGTATATCGTTCAGCCCTATAACACACTACAGGGAAGGGAAACCCCCAACATCCTCTTTAGATTTAAATGTCCTTATTCAAATTGTTACAGGTGATATTTATCTGCTTCTTGGATATTTTCATCAGACTGGTTTCAGTGTAGGATCTTAGTATCCCCTGGGTTCTTCAACACCTTCAAGAAACATTTTCTTGAGGACAAGTTGCTAAATTTGGCATAACACCTTTGCTGTAGCAGGTGTTTGATGTCTTGGCAGTTCCCCGGCTCTGCTCCAATGACTGTAAATGGCGGCAGTTAAAAGAGCATTAGGGCTTCTGGCCGGCCACTAAATGATGGATAGCCACCAAAGCTATGCTCAGAACGTGTGTGTGGAGGTGTGAAGGGGAGAGTATCGTATATGTGTCTGTTAATGTTAATGTGTGTCATGTTGACAAGGACCATATGCAAGACCATCTGTGCACAAGTGTGTTATTGTGTCCACATTCATCTACCAGGAACTCATTAGCAGCATTAGCAGTGGCCTTGTTATCCACAAGATGTATGCTGTGGAGAAAGTCATCCCCACCCTCATTTACTGTGTACCCTTTGCAGGGGCGGATCTACGGGGGGGGCAAGGGGGGCAGCTGCCCCCCCCCCCCACTGTAGAGCCTTGCCCCCCCAGCTGCCCCCCTAACTTTTGTTTCCCTAAAACTGTACTAAAACACTATTTATATATATATTTATATTTCCACAAGCTTCTCAAGCAACAAAACAAGCATTACATTAGTTAAAAGTGAATCATTTTAAATATAATTTTAGGCCCGTTAAAAACGCAGCTACGGCCCTGCATTAAACTGCGGAGCGGCGTTCACACAGACCACAGCTCACACAGACCGCGGCTCACACCGCTGCAGAGAGGGAGCGAGCTGTCCCAGCACCTATGGATCAGCTTCCCCTGGGAGCATTTCCCTTTCCACTAGTTTTATTTTTACTAAGGACGAGAGCTTGAAACTAAATATTAATAAAACGCTGCCGTTTGAATCGATAGCGTTTAACAGACGGGCGCTGTTTGGGGCGTTACGTTACAAAATACTACGCAGACAGCGTTAGCTGGGAGATCGATCACTTTGATAAACTACGCGGTAGCCTACTATTACATCCACGTAAACTACACATCACAACCATGAGGCCAGATCAATGAAACCAGGATACATCCTTTACTGTAAAAACTGGATCCAAACACAGCTGCCTGTGTGCGCTTGATCAATACTTTCTGATGTTATATGATATGCTACATATTAGCTAGGCTACATGGCCCTAATGTGCAAAGTTATACAAGCATTTGTACCAGTGCTTTTCACAAGTAGACTCTTGCAGGCCAGAGTATAGGAGTGATTCAACAACAACACAAAGACATATGAGAAGTGATCAGGACGAACAGAAAGAGGAAAAGGAAAAGAGAGTTCACTGAAGAGACCAGGAGGATCAGAGCAGGAGGAAGAGGAGGAGATGAAGAAACCAGGAGGGTCAGAGCAGGAGGAGGAGATGAAGACATTAGTGAAGAAGAAGAAATGTATGTGAGGAATAAAGATGAAGTATCAGAAAGAGGGACAGAGGCAGGGATCAGGAGGCAGAGGAGACTCCAGCTGGACCACATGGTATGTTCTTATTCTCCTCACATATTCCATCACAGCAGCACAATCTAGCAGCTCTTAGTATTGACAAATATTGATTGAAATGTGTTGCTGCACAGGTCACCTTCAGCTCTCTGAAGAGATGGGTGATGTCATTTGTGTACTTAATTATAAGTTGAAATGTTGAGTTTGTCAATCTTAATCTGAAAATACAAAAACTGAAATATAGGTAAGAGAAGAAACGGACACTTTTATGATGTAATTCCATGCAGATCACACATGGACTGATCCATTATTTTAATAGGAGGGTAAATGGTATGGCGTGACGGGGTTGAAACAAACTGAGGGACAATATTGCAATTTCATAGATAATTCAAGTATTTTTTCAGAATTTATTTTTGATCAGTTAAAGTTGACAAGCATATGATTATATTAGCAGCAACATTTTGGGATAATTGGCCATTTTGATTTGTTTGATATTAAATGAATATGTAATAATGCTTAGTGAGGACATGCAAATATGTCTGTCTAATACTAAGAAAACCAATTTTTTAAAAACTAAATATATATTTAGTTTGACATTGTAATGCAAAACAACCTGTTCCATTAATTCATTGCTTTAAAATACATTTTGTAGTTTCCTTTCATTTAAAATGGTTGAGGTAAGCTTGGGGGACTCAAAGGGCACCCGATTGTTTGTCTGAACCTTGTTTCTCTTGTGCATTAAGAACACTTGTGTTAGGGCATGAATTAACAATAAATAGGTTATATACAGTATAAAATACCACATACTGTCCGCCCTCCCATGCCACCCTGGCATGACCTCTTGCCCCCCCTTTGCCCCCCCATGTAAAATGTTCTAGAACCGCCACTGACCCTTTGTCTGTCTCCTCTCTTCCCTCAATTCTCAATATTCTATCCTCTTATGTCCCGTTTTTCTTCTCAATTCTTCTCTATTTTCTTCTTTCCCTTAATGCTCCACCCCCTTTGTTCATCTCCTATAGTCCCTCCTTCTTCCTCATCTCCTCAACCCTCAGCCCTCAGATATCTTACGTAATCATCTTATCTTCCTGACATGTATTCACCGTCACACATCTTTACTTCATAGGGGATTGTGTGTGCCTTCATTCACAGCCTGTGCTTGTCATGACTGTATGTGTTCATGTGTGTCTATCCATGCATGTGTGTTTGTGTGAAACCCTCTCTGTGCTCTATTTTAAGTGTTAGGCTCCCTCGGGGGTGAACATGCTGCACCTACTGTAAAATCCTGAATGAAATACATATTCAGGAGGAAGTACAACAACTGGTTACATGGCAACAGAGTCATATACATTAAAGGACGTCTTCGAAACACGGTGTCCTGTTATGGCTCATGACACTTATATTACTTGTAATCTTTGGGTCTTCACCCATGCTGCCCATGCATTTTGTAGCAGTAAAAGGGTCAAAAACATTGTAATAATTACGTTTATTGTGTGAATATGTATGAAATGACTAGTGCATTCATTAAGAAATTGGATTTATTTGCTTTAGTTAAGATTGCACAATGATATTGGCACTTGGTAGGGACCTATAAAGGCTTAAGAAAATACATATTGGTATCTGAAAGAAATGAACGTTTCTGAAAAATAAGATGACACTTTCAATTTCAGTTAATATAATAATAATTATATTTATATAATTATATAATGGAGTTTCAGGAAAACTCTGCAAAGCCTATATACAAATTAAGACTATTCATAATATTATGTTAATTATACTGCAGGAAATACTTGATGTTCTCTTCATTTAGGTGAAAAATATTGTTATTGGCAATTTGCTAAATTAGTTTGAAAATATAGGCATATCAGCGAAAAATCTAATCCAATGCATCCCTACTTTAATTACTAACTAAATCAAATGAGCTTAATCTTTATGTGTTTTAGAGAAATGATCATTGTAAGCAATGCAGGCATGTGTTCGTTCTCAGATCGCAGGGGAAGTGAGGGAAATTCCATCTGACCTTATACTGTAGCTACAGTATCAAGTTTGAGCAGCTTCAAATAAGATGTTATTAGGTCATACATAATGAATTAGTGGGGGTAAGTATAAGGCATTAGCTTCCATCTAATAGGAATCTGTCAGAATGTGAATAGAAAAATCTTCTGATGGCTCTGTACAGCACACTGCTGGGTATACTGTCTCAGTGTGTTTGTGTGTGTGTCTTCTGCCATGGTGTTTCAAAGTTGCAAATGTTTTGTAAATGTCAATATAAGAACAAGTATAAATACAAAGGAGTAAAAAATAATTGCCTTACAACACTGACTGTTCCTCCCTTTGTTATATCTGCCATTTCTTACAGATACATCACATTAAAATGTACAGTGTGAATAGCACGGAGCAAGGATCCATCTCTTACAGTCCATTGCTGTTATATTATGTCTGACAGCGGGCGGAGACGCAGTGAGGGGCTGTGAGGCCAAAGTAATGAGAATAAAAAATGACAGATTTGTTGCCATTCGCATCTTGGCATGCTCTTTATCTCGTGGACAAGACTCAGCTGGTCTTCCTATCTCTATAGTCCCACATTTGCAACTACAATACTGTTTCAGTGTATGCGTGATAACAGCACAGCAGTGTTTCAAATAAGTTATGAAGGTATACTGTATGTGTAATTAGTGCAATCCCCAGAAACAGAACTCATCTTTTGCAAACAAGATAAAAATGTTTTATGTATACTTAGAAATGGAGCAGCTTGTAAGGAAACAGTATATTTATGCATCAGGCTTCATAGCATAGCCAAGCTCAGTGTATAACGCCATGGTTATAATACTGAAGTGTGTTGCTTACTTTGAATTCAAGTGTGTGTTGCTGGAGCAGAGAGCGGTATCATCTACTGCGGTGAGAACGAGTTTCAGAGAGTACGAGTGATAATTGAGGCTCTCACTTTCACCTTGACTCCACCTGGAGCTCTCAGATGAGACACATTTACCAACCAGGGAAACAGCCTCTTACATGCTGCCCAGATTTAGAAAGCTGTGGTGTGAAACGTTAGGAGGCTGAGAGAGACATGGCCGCTCACGGAGTGGATAACGTACATCAGAACAAAGAGAGGATCCGAGGCAGTTAGCTAAGTTGAACAAATTGGCAGTTTTCTGTATTTTCATTTATGTGTAGAGTCACTGCGGATGGTGAAGACAGTTAGTATGTCTTCTTCAAGTCTTGTGATTACCTGACTGTTTCTATAGCGCCACCATAAGGACAACACTCTTTTGTACACCAAAAATATCCTAGTGTAATATCATTTTCCATACATTTCATGTGCACATTCATGGCCCCCTGAGGATTTCACACATCCAACACAACAGATTAAAAATAGCAATCATGCACTCAGAAATGAATGATGTAATAATGGGCCGATTATCTGTGTATTTTTTCAACAAATGTACAATTAACCAGTGCCACCAGTCAGGATAACATTTCAATTTGTGGTCTCATTTTTGACTAAAGCTACAGGACTATACAATCTCAAGTACACTGAAAAATACAGTTATGTGAAATCTGTTGACATAATACATGTAATGAAAGTCAACGTTTCAGCTTGTTCAATGTATGTGCTTCTTAAGTCCAATAAACATTGTATCCTACAGGTTTCAGCAGGACGTCTTAAGACTTTATTTGGTTACGTAATTAGCAGGAACAGATGATATAGTTTCCTATCAATTGTGTCGCTCATCATGCCATGCTATGTACCAACAGCATGTGGGGAAGGATCATCCTCTGTCAGTCCCCTCACTGAGTTGCAGTTTATTTCAGGAGGCAGCGATGGGAAGCAGAGAGAAAGAATGACACTTTGCTGTAATGGGATTGAAAAGGATGATAGATTGTCTCATTCGCCACTTCGACACGCTCTATATAGCCTGACCATGAATCTAAAGACACATTGTCCACAGACGCCAGTCCACAGACACTGTGGACATAAGATGACCATAAAGTCATGAGGAGAACTATTGATCTATGACCCTTTCAGTGAAGAAGGAAAGTGTTAGTAAGCTAAGTTTACAGAGAGTGTTGATGCACACTTGCAACGGCTGATATATAGTAAACAAACCCTTTTTAGTGACACACACCTAACTGCACGTTACTTTATGTGTTACATTTCTGCTTGAGAATGTGTAAATATTGTAAACAAATCTTCACTCATTTTCAATTATAACAAAAAAAAGGGTTTCTTTTGTCTTTTCCTAAAAAGCCTATGCTCAGAGATGATGCATGGCTTTGTCCCCAGCAATCTAACAGCAACAGAGTGAGACAGTCTAGTCAATGCAGCGGCTCACACATCATTAACTGAAGTAATGTTTCTCTCTTTCTTCTTCATGTTCTCTTTTATCTCTCGTTGTTCCTCCCTTGGTGTCTTCTCAGCCAAATGACACAGATGTAAGTATCCATAAGTTCCCTCATTTATCAAAACATCGCTTTACTTTTTGCACAGAGCCAAATTGAACATCTACAGCGCCTGCTTAGTTCTGTGAAGACGGCTTCACACCAAAACAGAATATACACACACAGACATTCAGAGATGTAGACAAATACAAATCAGACACACAGGAGTCAATCACAGGTAGACATACAGTATCACACACAAACGAACACCTTCTCACCAAGAGCGACAGGTAGTACAAATGCACTTGACACGGACACATGTTCACGCATAACACGTCCACAGACAGACCCAACATGGGTTCAATCATGTTTTCACGTACACAAAAATCATCATCAACACAAACTGCACTCTCACATCTTCCACCTATATTTAAATCGCTTTGTTAGTGTTGAAACAGTTTCACTTGTCTGTCCTCCAGTGCTCTGACGTAGATGGGATTTGTCCTCTTCGGTGTGACAGCGTTGTGAGTATAACTGTCTGATATTAAGTCATTATGAATTCAAGATAAAAAGGAATGAACTATATCATGTCTTTGTATTCAAACTCTAAAAGGTTGTCACATGTAGCTTTAACTTCATAAAGTAAATGATATTACTATTTTGCCTGTTGTCATCTTCTTATGTTTGACACAGATTTTTTTTTTTATAAATAATTGCTCTCTGTTTTTTTTGTCATCGCAGGATATTGCATGCTACATGATTGACAATAATGGCTTTGTCATCATTTCTAAACAGCGCAATGATGTGAGTACACCCACACACACACACACACACACACACACACACAGAAATTGTGCTTTCTAATCTTTGACTTTACTTTTTGTGTGCTCTTACTCCTGTCGACTTTTCAATTTCTTAACAAGTAACAAAACACATGTTGAATACCCAAAACAGTCTATGTATTACCTAGAAACACATTGTTATTGTTAATTAGGTTTAGAACTACTTCCATGACCTTTTTTGTTTTCATATTAGCATTTTCAAATGTCAGACTTTTCCCACAGTAATCATCAACAGTATGTGCAAGCAGGAGTAATTATTCAATACTCATGACACACAATAATTGTATAATTAGCACAACACTGCAGAGGCTTTAAATTAATCAACATAACAAAATAAGCAAAGCAGAAAATCATTTGAATGTAGCAGTTATAGTTTGAAGTGAGTTTTTGAGCTCTTTTTATTCCTCTCTGTCAACACACAACATAACATGGTTGGATGAATAATTGATCGTACAGTTCACATTGTGATCATGATGTGAATTTATTATGTTCAGCCACACAGATGATTCCTTCTCTTTTCTTGTAGGCGGGTAGATTTTTTGGCGAGATTGACGGATCAGTAATGACAACACTAATCAGAATGGGCATGTTCAAACGGTAATGTCTGGTTCTCATTGCCTGTCTGTTTTGTGTGTGCTTCTCTGTTTTGGTTATTTTGCAATTCAATTGTGGCTCATAAATATGATGACATGTAACCCTTGTTCTGTAATACACACATAAGTGGTTGCTGCTGGGTCTTAAACGTAAGGGTTGTTGCAAATGTCTATTTATTTGTTCTTACCGACCTAAGACATGCATTAGTATGCTTAGAAACCAATAGCCTGGAGGGTGTGCTTTGCTGTCATTATAGAGACTCAAAGGCTCTGTTTTTATTGCTATACAGTCTCTGCCCTGTGTTGCACTCTTACGTGCCGAGGGTAGCTAATCCACCCATCTTTGTAAACACAGTCCTCTGTAGATGTCTCAGCTTTTCCCCTTTTTCCCCCTTTGAGCTTCTGTGACTGCCCTGGATTATTTTCCCTTTTACTTTTGCCCGCCATCTATGTTTGAAGTCTCATGAGTGATGTGCTATTTTTATGCAGCTAAAGGATTTTGTCATGTTTCATTTGACACAAGATATTACATAACTGGTTTTGAGCATGCATGAACTTCAGTGGCTGTGCACTCATACTTACTGTATATTGTAAGTGCATGCATCTGCAAAGATGTCTGTGTTCTTCTGCCTCTACCTACATAGTACAGTATATATACGGTATATACACTGGGTCAATCCTCTCTGTAAAAAAGCCAGTAATTATAACTGAGATGATTTTCTCTCAGTTTTTTTTCTTCTCTAAGTTTAGGGTTTCTAGAGAGATTAAGCTGCGCTATAGCGCTGTGTGTGGTAGTCTGCAGAGGGTAGAGGAGTCGCTGTAAGTCAGTGAAATACTACCTGAAGAGCAACACCGTGTGTGTGTGTGTGTGTGTGTGTGTGTGTGTGTGTGTGTGTGTGTGTGTGTGTGTGTGTGTGTGTGTGTGTGTGTGTGTGTGTGTGTGTGTGTGTGTGTGTGTGTGTGTGTGTGTGTGTGTGTGTGTGTGTGTGTGTGTGTGTGTGTGTGGGGGGGGGGTTTCTACAGGGTGTCCTTGTTCGACTACCAGGCCATGTGTAAGATGAACTCGCACTCTGTCAGCAGCGCCCGTCCACTTCTCAGTGTAAGCACAGTGTACTCAATCTGTATACCATAATATTAATACTAATATTACAGTCCAATCAATTCTGAAGTAACGCTCATCTGTTTATCTCTTCAGCCGTTTTATGGTTTGGCTTCAGCCCTCAAGTGGTTCCTCTCCAACTTCCTACTGTAAGTGTTGCTAGGGGCAACCACAATGTCAGTGTATCCTAAACAAAAGTGATTTTTGTAAAAATGTGCTATTATGTATCACTATTCACTAAGTTTTGCATATTTGTAAAAGCAGTGGATTTTTTATTTCATTGTTGAAAATACAACATTATAATAGGAATGGTTTGATATTTAGAGAACAATGCACATTATCAATTTTCTTGCCAAGAATTTGATAAAAGATCAATAACACTTTCATGTCTGTTTGATAAAAATGAAGCTAGGTCTAAAATTGAAAGCATAAAGCCTGCGAACAGAAGGAAACAGCTGGCTCGGCTTTGTCCCAACCTTATCAAATCTGTCTACCAGCACCTCATGCTTAGTTAATGACATATTATATCTTGTTTGGGTAATCTGCTATAAAACCGTATAGCAAAAACAACAGTTTGCTGTTTTACAGGGAAGTTATGTGCTGGAATAAACTTTTCAGTTGTCACTACTTAGTAAGGCTCCTCCAGTTATCCAGAACGGCTACCAATGCTACTAATAGGGATGGGAATTTGAAAGCAAATGTATATTCGAATATTCGACGCCCCAAAAAACGGTTAACCGGTTAACCGAAATGTACATATCCTATAAAAAAAAAAATTGGGTAAAATAAAAATTTCATAATTTTTTTTTTACCCAATTTTTTTTCAATAATTTTTGGAAATAAATGCATACATGTTCAAATAAGTGTAGAAAGTCGAATTTGTCAAATGTATTGAACTGGTGATCACAGTTTGACAGCTATAGGCCTACAGCTTTCATGTGCAGAGGCGATTCACAATCAGCCCAGCTGTAGAGAAGACCCTCTCAGCTGGAACGGAGGTTGCGGGTATAGCAAGGTATAGCATATATAAGTTTAATTTAGCATAGTTTGCACTCTACACCGCACTCACTAACTTAGTCGAAATATTTCCACACATTACTCCTTTTTGACGCCATGTCTGTTGTGGAGGACTCTTCTTAGAGTGTAAATAATTACCGGACTATGACTGGTAAAATATGTTGAATACCGGCAAAACTAAATCTCTCCTGTCAAAATGTCTATGTACTTTGCCGCCACACACGGTTGCCAAGCAGCACTTATTGTTTTTTACGCTGGCCACTCATGTGTCGCGAGTGTTGACAGGGGGCCGGGGAGCACGCTCATGAACTGTTAGCGCCAGAACCTCGCAACGGCTGCGGAGCACATTTGCGCCACATTTGGGCATAAGATGAGGTTAGAGTCTGTGTGATCTGCGTGTAGGGAGGGGCAGCAGCCATATCATTGGCTAGAACTAGCTAGATCTGATGGATTTGGACATGAACGCGAGTGAAGTATAACCGGACGCGAGAGAGAGAGAGATCAGCACCTGCAGCTCTGCCCGCTGTGAGGGACCGGTGAGCGGAGCAAAACACACCTTTAGACGTCAACTAACACATTTAGCTATGGCACTGTCGTATATATATATACATTGAATTATTCAATTTGATAATATGTAATCAACTTAGGCATCACTCCCAAAAAAAAAAAAAAATTATAAAAATATTCATAACTCATATTCGAATAAATGAATAATTATTCGAATACCTGAATAATTTCGAATATTCGATTAATCGTTCCCATCCCTACTAATTACTGCTGATTCATCTGAGGAATCACTTTAATATTCCCACGGTACAACTTTGGGGCCTGGCCCAGATTTTGAAGTCAGAATGCAATCTGCTTGCTATCTGCTTTGGTCCATAACGAAGGCCGCCTAATTGACTCTCTGTCCACTCTCCTCTTCTGTCTTCCTCATAAGGTTTCTCCTGGAGTTTAATTTCTGTGGCTTTTGGCACACGGAGCATTTTGCTGATGGTGAGTTCTACAAGAAAAGTGTTGCCAGTTAAGGTCAAACTCTTATCTTTGTGATAAATGTCTCTTAAAATGTCCTTTTTGCATGTATATTTTGTAGATCATCAAACCTTAAGAGCAGACCTAGATTACTGCAATATGACCTTATTATCAACTGCTTTAGAGAATATACACACATCTACATGGAATGCAAATCAATTCTTAAGTGATTATTAAATCTTATTTAATATTAATGTGAATGTCTGGGCTAATAAAACTCACCATCGCTCATTCTCATCAACCAGTCATGGCGAACATGTAGGAGTAATGTCCCGTGTCATTGTGCTGTATGTTGTGTCAATCCAATACCAGCAGTGGAAACATTAATCCCCAATCTAGAAATCATTATGGAGTCATCTGATCCCCTCACCTCTCATCTGTCTCTGTCTTCCCATCGATCACACTGCTCATTACTACACCTGTCAATCATCCACTCTTCCTCCAACTCGATATCATCATCATCATCCCTCCACTCAGCCAAGGCATCTTTCAGCGTGTGTGAGTATATGTCTCAAAGGGTTTTTTAGGACAATCGTTTCTCTAAAATTATTTTTTTCGAAATGTTGTATGTGGTGTAATGTTTGTGGTAATCTTCAAACAGATGAATTGCAGTCTCTCTGAAAGAGGTGGGAGAAGTACTCAGATCTTGTACTGAAGTAAAAGTAGAAGTACCAGAGTGCAGGAATACTCTGTTACAAGTAAAAGTCCCTTTTTAAAAATGTTCCTCAAGTAAAAGTAGAAAAGTATTCTCATCAAAATATAGTTAAAGTACCAAAAGTAAAAATACTCATTGTGCAGATTGGTCCATTTCAGAATAATATATATGATATGTTTTATAATTATTGATCATGAAAGTGTTCTCAAAGCTGATAAAGGTGCAGCTAGTCTGAATGACTTTGTATACTGCAGGGTAGCTGGTGAATTTACTCCAGATGGAACTAAAGTCTGATTCAACACTTGATTATATTTCACATCATTCATCCACATCTGTAAAGTAACTAAATGTATTACATAAATGTAGTGGAGTAAAAGTACACTATTTACCTCCTACTGTAGTGGAGTAGAATTACAAAAGTGCAAAAGACTACTACTTGGATGTACTTAGTTACTTAACACCACTGCTCTCTAATTACATAACTAATTCTCCACAACAAGACCTAAGCAGACTGTTAAAACTGAAACAAATGTAATTCTGAGGAAGTCATACAGAAGACATGAAGTTCTCAAAACACCATTATAGCTCTTCCTTATGGTTTCAAACCCATAATTTTACCTGCACACATCTAACAGAGGTACATGGTACAAAGAGCAATAAATGGCTGAAGTGTGAAGCATTTACTGTAAATAGCACCCAGCATCCTCCTGTCACAGTCTATCAGCCTTCCAGTCATCAACACAATGTCACACACACACCTCCACACACACTTTCACATCCAACCTTGACACATGAACCATATCTATTTCTGTAATAGCCTCGGCTCATAAGAAAAGAGGGGACATTCTTCAGCCGTGTGACACCGAGTACCCCAGCTTTGTCTACGAGCCGTCAGTCAAAGAGACCAACAGCATCATTAAGTGTGGACGCTGCCAGAAGTAAGCACACACACTCATGCACACTTATAGCACACACAAATCTGCACACACACCCTAGACCAGTTATATTAAATTGTCTGCCTCAAATCCATTTTCTATTGCTTTTCTGCATTCTGCATACTAAGAGCAGGGAGTGTGAGGAAGAGGGGGAATACGTAGAAAGGAAAGGAATTAGATCTGGGTACATGTGGTTTCAGAAAGACCGAGAAGTATATGGGGGGCGAGGGAGAGAGACTGGAAAACTGAAATTAATAAGAGAGGTAAATGAAAAAAACAGAGGGATGGAGGAGAGTGGGTGACAGAAACAGAGATGGAAAACAGTGGGAGGCAAGAGCAGGGGGGAAGAGAAGTGTGTGTGTGTGTGTGTGTGTGTGTGTGTGTGTGTGTGTGTGTGTGTGTGTGTGTGTGTGTGTGTGTGTGTGTGTGTGTGTGTGTGTGTGTGTGTGTGTGTGTGTGTGTGTGTGTGTGTGTGTGTGTGTGTGTGTAAAACAGAAAAGAAGGAAACAGGGGAGAGAAACACTGTTTACTACAATATGTCTGCAGGTTTGTGATCATAGGTTGAGTGTGATCGCCCTCATGAGGCTACAAAATGTATAACATAGCCCTTTAAATGCTAAAGGACACGGTTACAGACTTTAGAGACTTTTAAATGCAGTCAAGTACATTTGCAACCATATTTGCTTTAGTGTTTCTGTGAGAACCAAATTTGGATAATAATTTAATAAATACACAAATATATCATTTTGTATCACTGTTACAATTATTGTGGGTATTGTATCTGCCTGGCTCAGCAACCTCTTCTTGACAAGGTGTTCATTTCATACAATACAAGAGAGGTTTGCTTTTTGTGCATGTGTTTGTGTGTGTCAGGATGTTTGTGGTGCAACAGATACCAGACAGCAACCTGTTGATGCTGGTGGTGCAGGCGGACTGTGACTGCTCCAAACAGTACCCACCCATCACCATGGAGCCCAAGGAAGTCAAATATATCCTTTGATTTTTTTGCTATTCATGGAGTATGCTGCTAGTGCTGCCCTTTGTCTTCCTATTTCTCCCAAATGAATTCCATTTGTAATGCAGTCCCTGTTGCTATGGAGAGGGCGAGTTGACAACAAACAGGAATCTCTAATGTTGTAACTAATCCAGGATCTTTAAACTCCCCAACAGTGATCACTTTATTTGTTTTCCCTTGCACCAAACTTTAATTCTGGAAATTGTGTATGCCTGCTGTGGTACATATATAGAATTGTTTTTTACTAGATTAATATAAAAAAAGAGGTTTCTCTGAATCTAGTCTCTAAGGGCGATGGCTCAGTGCCAAGAAAGTACTTGCCGTGGAGAATCCTTTTGTGTTGCTGCGGTTGCTCCTTGACTCCACTGCACATAATGCCTCAGTGAAGTGTGACAGGATGAGGTCCCAGAAGATCCGCCGCCGCCCCGAGTCCTGCCACGCCTACCACCCCCAGGTCAGCTTCTCATTGGTCCATACGTTCATTGTGTCATAACCTCCTCATAATGTTTTGCTGCAATGTCTTCTGTGCATCAAACCCATTTCTAATTAGGAGAGTGCCTTTTTGTTTGTTGTCCTGGCGTCTGTATATCTGCTATTTTATTTAGCTTGATTGCATTGAAACTGGTTTGGAATGGCTTTAGTCTTGGCAGAGACACAAAGTGAAATCACTTTCTGTTTGTTTCTGCAGGAGAACGCCAATGACTGTGGAGGAGCTTCTGTTATATCTCTCTCTGCATCTCTCTTCCTCGCCTGCCTCTCCTTCTCTACACGTGTCTCCTGATGATGGACAACTTTGCTGTTTCAACTCAATTTCTCATATAAACGAGGAGATTGGAATGAATCAGGATCAGTGTTTGGACACTGATCAAGTGGGTTAAAAAAAAAAATGTCTACCCATGACGACCACAATAGTCTCTAATGACGGACCTTTGTTATAGGCCGTTGTTGCCGTGGATACTTTTCCATTACTTGCTTTCTCATACACCACGTTGCATCTCAAAATGAAAGAGGGACTAAAGAGATGCAGGTGGCAGCTATGACCTGAATTGATAAAAGAGGATTACAAGTCACATGATGCAACAGAAGAAAGTCCAGGGGGGAATATATTAATCATTTTTCATATTCCACTGAACTGAATATTGCAGTACATGCATATTATATATGCAGCTGCAAGCATGCACAACTGGAGAACTTTATCCCCTGAAAGCTTCATATTCTGACTGTTTTAAACATTGAATGAGAGACAGGAGAGAAGGGCTACAGCCATATCTGGTGAACATTGTTGTTTAACATCAGTGTTGCTGCTGAAAGTCAGATTAGAGGATGGTGTTTACAGTATAAGTTTTTCTGAATCTAATCTCAAAGGGCGATGGTTCAGTGACAAGAAAGTACCTGCAGTGGAGTTGATAAAAATTATCAAAAAGTATGGGACGTCACTTCACTATCTTGTTTGTTTTTTTAAACTTGGATTACATCCAAAAAAATGTTTCTGTGACATATCTTTGCCTTTATGTTTTTATCAGCTGTGTCTTTCTGTTTGGTTTTAATTATGTTTGGCAAGAGACCACTGTGGAGCTCACAGGATGTAGATCTACAATCAAAAAGGATAACAAAAAGATGGATTGTTTTTTAGATAAATACATGCAATGAAATGGATTCAAGGCTAAACTGGAAGGAAGATGCAGTTGTACCAGAGCATCAGTGTTTCCAGAAGTCATTTATGCTGTTGACTATGCATTTACTGGACTGGGTTTTTTCAGATGCTTTACCTGTGTCCCAAGGTCATGCATTTGCTTCTAAGCCCTTGGACTATACAACAATATAATTGTATAACTTCATGATTAAATAAAAAATGCTCTCAGTTTGGGAAACAAGTTTCTATTATGAACAAATTAAAATGTGAAATGTTCATATGAGTAATCGCAATGTACATTAATATTAATATTGTATGGTTGACATGTGTACAAGTTGTGTGTTGACTGAAGTCATGATTTGATAAGTAAAATAAATTGTCCATGTTTTTTTATCGTATTTGTCACCAGTTTGTTGTTGTTTTTTGCTTGTCAGTGACTAATGACCCTAACATATTACAGATGCTAACAATACCAGACTAAAACAATCAGTACTTTACCAATACTCAAAGGGGTTATATAATACATATATTATATTGAAGTTGAATATCTAGAGTGGTGATGTGAGCTCTTGTAATCAAATCAGCTTTCATATTGCACTAGCAACATAAACAATCCAAAGGTTTGAAATCATATCTGCAACTACACAACACTGTCTTGAGACACGGTTGCTGTGTAATGCTTTTCAAAAAGAGTATAGGAAGTGTGATGGTTGTCAATCAGCTTGTCTCGGAATCTGAATCCAGTATTACTTCATGTTTTGATTTAATATACTAGATGATAATGCTGAATATTACAAACGACTAATAGTCAGTAGCATCCACCAGTACTGTCAAAAATATTTGTTAGAAATAGTATATAAATAGTTGGCGATGATTAAAACATATCTATTGTCAAGTCAACATTTAGATATAAATTAAACATATAACATTTTATGTATACATTTTGACAAAAGACACTTTTTGTCCTAGGCAACTAACAATGCAATTGTACTTATAAATCACATTATTTGTCTGATTGGGCTTTACATCGTACGAGGAAAATCTTCCCAAAGAAGCTCAACAATTTAAGGGAAACGTAAAAGAAACCTAAGGGTTGGCAACACATAAATCCCTCAGAGATTCAAAGAAGTCCATCAAAGATTCAAATTTGTTTTTACTTTAAAACGAGAAGAATAGTTGATCTGGTGTTTTTTGACAGGCAAGTCAGCCTCTACCTTGGGGTATAATGACTAGATAAACAGGGTTTGGAGGGTAACTTTAACTACTAGTTACAGTAATCTCAGTATCAAAATAAAAAAGTAAAGTGACCTGAAAACTCCCCTACTTTTGGATTACCTCAATATCAAATTCAATGCAAATAACTAAAAGAGAAAAATAAATTTATTTATAACATAGTTATTTACTATGTGTATAACAATGTAACCATAGGAAAGAAGAAACCAACATATTTCATATAACAAATGTAGTAAGTAACAGTTATAGTTTACAAATGCTGTTTAAGCTTAATACATTAATCAAAAGCCAACTATATTTGTGTTGAATAAATCAGGGGTCCACCTACTGCATTAAAAAATAAAGGTGTTTAAAAATTAAAGCAGCCTAAATGTAAAACCATAAGGAACATTCATTCAATACGCCTACCTATAACATATCGATTCACATGTATTTATTGTACCACTGTAATCCTTCAAGTAATCTCTATTGTTTTTGTATGTAACAGTCATGTGATTACTTGTTTTCTTTCTTCATTGTAATATAATAAAGTTACCTTTTTTGTATCCTGATTATGTAATCTCGTAACATGTAATCCGTTATTCCCCAAGCCTTTTTTACTGTCCTAATGTCTTTTGTTTTCTTAGTTATGTTCTCTGTATTTTATATGTTTGTATTACTGTTATGTGTAACGTTGCTGCCTTCTTGGCCAGGTCAGCATTGAAAATGAGATTCTATCTCAATGCTTTTTTATCTGGTTAAATAAAGGTTAAATAAAAAGCCTGAAGATAAAGCACTTCCCCACACAGGTGTTATCGCGTTTATATCATGGTTTCTATTCTCAGCAGGGTTGTAGTTAGTGCAGGGGGCCAGCAGGGGCGCTAGCGGTCCCTCTCCGGCTCATTGTTTGGGTCTCAGTGTAGCTCTGCTCTGCCGGCAGAGAGAGGGACGGGTTGGTGGAAAATGGCGGACGGTGTGGATCACATCGATATCTACGCCGACGTAGAGGAGGAATTCAATCAGGTATTGAACGCGCATTGAGCACACTTCATCTTACGGTTAATTGTTCTGTATTTGTGTGTGATATTTCGTGCTTAGTCTGGTTGGGAAATGGTGTGTTCTGCTGGGTAGAGTTTCCCTCGCATACAGGCCCCCCTCCACCATGCTGCAAGCCCGCATCCTCAGATACTATTACCGCCGAGAAATGTGGAATTTGCGCTGTTGTCGACATTTACCACCACGCGTGAAGCATAAAGAAAAGTACATGAAATGTGCAAATATATTGTATTTCTTCGGCTGAAGGCTAAAATCATCCTCTATCATTGTTCACTGTGTCGGGCCTCGGAATGGCTGCCTGTGGCGCGCTAGTTACGATAGCTAGCAGGCGATAGCTTTCTAACAATAATTATGTTTGGCACGTTACTTTGTGGCTCCCTTTGTGTTTTCTCAGTTCATACTAGCACATTTTAGTAGGTTGAACCTTAATTGTTACTAGGCATGGCGTTTTACATTTAATTCAGAAAGCATTTTATTAGACGTAACATTATAGAGTGTTAGCTTTTATACTCTTAGCTTAGTGCAACCTTAGCATCTCTGTGTCCATTGGCTGGATATGTTGTTGTCTACTCCTAACACGCCCCTTTCCTGTACACCAGAACCCAGGGGGCAATATGTTGTTTGCTGGCCCCTTAGAGACAACTTAATCTCCTGCAAAATCTTCCCTCCATAGTGTAGGTTAATGTTGACTTGTTTGTATAAGAGATGCCCTCAGCTGTTCATGTTTACATTTACGGAAGTCACTTTTCTGTTCAATCGTTAAACATTAGGTCAACCAGGCTGGTGCATTAGAGTTAACGTCACTTAAAGGAATGCTCCACTCATTAGATAATTAATCAAAACATCAGTATTTAGTGAAACATTATGTTTAAACCATACCCTGAAGAAATCAGCGATATTCCCCGGTAAATAATGATTTTATAGCTCTTTTTTATCAAAACCTGTATATTCCGTCAGGCCGTTGCCATTTTGCCCATTTTCAGTAGTCACGTGACGGTCGTGACGTCATCCATGCGTTCAATTTGTAAACACATGAAAACATGGGCGGAGTATTTGAGTTCGGACTCGTCAGCCGAGGAAGAAGTTTTGAGCAATATGAAGAGATTGGAAGGGGGAATTCAGCCATACAGGTTCGAGCCTACTTAGTACTACTTAGTAGATACAATGATTTTGATTACTAGATATGTATGCATGTAGTACCACCCTTGCTAGCGATTCCCTCTCTAGTTTAGCATACTCAGCCTCGTTGTCCCTGGCGCTAGAACCACGATTTTATGGGGCCGGAAAAACTGGGGGGAAATACCCACTAGCCGGTACTACGCTATATGGAAAGGCCACCAAAAACTGGCCTGGCCTGGACGATAAAGGACGTTTAAACGGGGCTACCCGCTGCAATGGAAATGCGCCATAACATACCTTATTCTTACTCCGAGCACTACTTCTGGTCCTCCGTCGCTTCATACTTGCAGAGGGCGATTTCTCAACTGGCCGAACTGGTGTCCTGGTCGGTGATGACACCAGAAAGACCGATGGTACTGCATCTCCATTAAGTAATGGTTGTTCAATAAATCCCATGTTATGTTTTATCATACTCTCAGAGTAGTCGTCCGGAAACTTGAAATGTTCGCTGCATACATGCGCCTGTGGATCTTTCGGTTCGGGCCGGCCACATTTCGCTAGCCACTGCCTCCGAACGTACTTACCTACGCTTACCTTTTGGCAACAGATAGGAACCGAGCATTCCGTGGATTGTTCCTATCAGAATTGTGGCAATGTTTCGCGATACAATGAGGCATATTTGAAGAGAGTAACTACAGTAAATAACATGAACATCAACGTGTCCTCGAAACCAAACGCATGGTTTACGTCACGTCCGGTAAAATGGCGCTGCCCACAGTGTTGATGTTATTTCGGTAATTAATCAGTTTAAAATCACTGATAATGTCATCGGATTAAAAACAAATAAAAAAGAGAGACTGGCAGAGACTGGTCTGTTTTATCGGATGATCATTATTTAAAAATGAGTGTCATGAGCATTCCTTTAACAGTCTTACTTCATACTGATACTCAAAGACGGAAAAGTTCACAAAGTTAGTCAAAGCATCAGTCTGAAGATTACTTATTATATCTTGGCATGACCTCCTTAATTATTATGTCTACAAGTCCCAATCTATTTTGAGAGCGTCTGCTAAACTGAAGACATTTACACAGCCACTGCTCCCCTATAACCTGTTCTACTTGTGTTCAGTTACAAATAAACTGCACTTTGTTGTTTTCATGGTGTTATATGGTCACATGAATTAAAGAAAGACCGAGGTATTCACCTGCCTAAGGACCAACTGTAGGCGTGTTCCACATACTCCGATATAGTTTATAGTGTTCAACATTAACAGCTATAAGAGGCTTAAAAAAAGATTAACTAAACTTGTTGACACAAGAGTCCTACCAGCTCTAATGGTAACAAGTTAACACACTACAGTTGGAAATATCCACCAACAGTGAAAAGTAGCGTCTTATTTAGAGTATGCTCCGTGTTAACAGCTAAGGAGGGATATTGTCTTTTTGGATTAAGGGCAGGCACTTGAGTATTTTGTGCATGTAGAAATTGATTATTTAAGATTTGTCAGCATGTACAGTAAACTTGAATCAGGTGCATTTATTGCAAATTAGAAAAACCCATCATGATGTATTGTGCCACCAGATACTGCTGCAATCAAATCAAATAAGAAATAAAACTCACAAATTCACCCCTGCAAATTGTTAATGATGTACCGAAACGTCAAAACGATGTGATTCTATGCATTGTCTCTGATTTATATACATGGGCTGCTCATAATGTGTCACATGTTTGACTGAACTGTTACTGTCACGCTCTACAGGAAGCCGACTACCCGGTCCACGACCAGATCGATCTGTATGATGATGTAATATCTCCATCAGCCAACAATGGAGATGCTCCGGAGGACCGCGACTATCTGGACACACTGCCTACACAGGGTGGCTCAGAGGGAGGGAAGAGTTCCCAACCCAACGTGGTGTACACCTACACAGGCAAAAGGATTGCCCTGTACATAGGAAACCTAACATGGGTGGGTAGAAGGCTACTTAGATATGATATATCCATACAAAATATTTTATAAATAGAAGCAACATAATTTAAAAAAAGTATCATTAAAGACAGATATTCTTGTGCCTTGACAGATGTTCACCTATACATTAGAGGCTTCTCAATACTCTAATTTCCCCTCCTCGACTCCTATCCTCGAGACTTAGTCCCGCCCACAGGAGACGCGAGCGAAGGAGTCAAGGAAGGGAAGCAGCAGGCAGTTAGAGAAATGAGAACTCCTCTCCTCTGAGCGGTCATTTTAAAGAGACGTCCATTAATGATGACAGGAGGCACAGCAGCCCTCTGTCTGATGGACAGATGTGTTCATGATGACTTCTATATTTATTTTTAATTCATTCACAGTGCGGCATAATGAGACAATAACAGGCTACAGATGCGGACATATACACACAAATATATTTATATAAATATATACAATTTTTAAAGTATGAGAGCACTCTCATAATAACGTAACACAATCAGAGACCCCCCTCTCTCTGGTCGCTGAAATGGGGAATTGAAATTACGGGCCAAACGTTGTATTTACAAGTATTAAAAGTAAGCAGAGGACACCAAACCAGCTGAGACCCGTCTGTCCGCCGCATCTACGCACTGTACAACACACACACACACACCTACACACTGTACCACACGCCAGAGATGGGGACTCGAGTTTGTGACTCGGACTCGAGTTTGTGACTCGGACTCGAGTCGCACTTAAGTCGCACACACAGAGACTTCAGACTTGACTTGGACTCCCGCTCAAAAGACTTCGGACTCGTGTTTTGGGACTCGTGAACAATCATTGTGTTTTCTATTTTTGGCGTATTAAAGGTGGGGTAGGTACATTTGAGAAACCGGCTCGAGATCGCTAGAATTTGAAAATACACAACCGGAGAAAATCTGCCACTTCCTCACAGAGCCCCTCCTCCAACACACACGAACGCGCACATGACCAATGAGGGCACGAGATAAGTTTGTGCCCCGATGGGAGGCTGACAGGCAGGTCGGCCATCCAGTTACTTTAGCCGGGCCGGCTATCGGGATGTTAAGAGCATTCCATGGAATATAACAAAAAGTGTATCTCGAGCCGGTTTCTCAAACTTACCTACCCCACCTTTAACATTAACATCATGGTAACACCATGGCGACCGGCGGCACACCTGCAGCTGTATCGCTTGTAATTAGGTTAAACTATAAAAACTTCGAACAAAACGCCGGCGGCACCAACAAAAGGAGCGCACACTGCAAAGTAGGGCTGTGCAATTAATCGTATTTTAATCGCGATTACGATTATGGTTTGCGACGATTATGAAAACAGCATAATTGACAAAATACGATTATTTTTGCTCGGTGCGCTTCGCCCCTCCCTAAAAGCCCACTCGGCCACGTGGGAGTGACATGTGTTGTGAGTGTTCAGCGCGAGCGAAGATGTCAGATCAAGAGCAGCAACTCGTTAAAAAGAAGGGTCAAACTATTTCCACTATTTGGAAGTACTTTGGCTTTCCGGAGTCCGACGTGGAGCAAAACAAAGTACAGTGCAGGATTTGTTACCAGGTTGTGTTGGCACCACACGCTAACACAACCACATCTCTTTAATCATCTGAAATACAACCACAAAGTGCAATACGACCGGGCAGTAATACAACAAAAAGCAGATGCCCGCTCGACTTCATCCACCACATCATCACAGTCATCGATTCAGGACGCATTGTACAGAGCAACGGCCTACGCGACGAGCTCGCAGAGACACAGAGATATTACAGGTGCCATTACATTTCACATCGCTAAAGATATGTGCCCAGTTAGCACTGTTAGCAACGAGGGCTTTAAGCAACTTGTCAACACGTTGGACAAGCGTTACGCGATGCCGTCTCGGTATTATTTCAGCAGGTCTGCGGCTGCGCTGCCTGCGCTATATGACAAATGCCGTGGGGAAGTTGAGAGAGATGTGGCTTCAGCTGACTACTTTGCTACCACAACAGACCTATGGTCTAGCCCAGGGGTGCCCAACCAGTCGATCGCGAGATGTGTCTAAAAATAGAACAACAATATTCTGTTTTATCGTTAATGTCCTGTAACATAATCTTCCTGTGCCAGAATAATGCACTTGAACGCATCAAAGCTTTGTGATTGGCCGGCGTCTCCCCATGTGTCGGGGCGTGGCTGAGGGTCTTCAGTACAGGTGGCAATATTGTCACCTGCCTGCGCTCATCTCTGAAACCAGACCATGTAAACAGGCTGGTGTTTCTAGCGAACAATCTTTAAGAGATGACATGAGCAGCCCTACCAGCATTTGCCATGGTGGCCTAAACATTTTTATTTGGTCTTAAATTGTAGTTCAACATTTATTTCCTGTTACTTCTGGACCATGACGGTTGGCCAGCCTTCAACGTTTAACTGAGTGGAATATGTTGAATATGTTTTACCAACATGTTGGCTATATGTTAAGGAGTTGTCAGTAGGTTGTGACAGTGCACTGCAACATATTTGATTTCATTTATTTTGGTCTAATTTATTTTTATTTATCATATTAATAATAAATGTTTAGTATGGTTTTGGAAGTGCGCTCCAACATATTTGTTGATCTTGTTTATTGGTAAAATATTATTTGTTTTAAAGTTCAATAAATGGTCAATGAATAATCGTCAAAATAAAATCCATTTCCGGGTCACTACCGGAGGACCGAGGAGGGGAAATTAGAGTATTGAGAAGCCTCTACTGTGTAATTTGCAACATAATATATAAAACGTAGCAGGTCATTACACATGATTCCAGTCATGCTAATGGCGCTCTCTTCTCTCATGCAGTGGACGACTGACGAGGACCTGACAGAAGCTATCCGGTCGGTCGGCATCACAGATGTGCTGGAGATCAAGTTCTTTGAAAACAGAGCCAATGGCCAGTCAAAAGGGTGAGGTCTTTATTATATATAATTCCAATGATTGAACTTAATGACAACCTGCTATAGGTTCTTATAATGACTTCTTAAAACATATTGTCCCAACATTTGGTGGGAGCTATTTCTTACATATTTGTTCATAGTACTTTCAAGTTCAATTCAAAACCTTTATTTATCCAGGTGAAATCCCATTGAGATCAATGATCTCTTTTTCAAGGGAGACCTGCAGCAGTAGGTTCCACATAAAGACATAAAAACATAAACAACAGAACAACAAAAGGACATCATACAGCAACATTTACAGGGATTACAATTTACATATCTATCCAAGTTCTTGTTATGAATAAAATAATTTGTACTTTGCACTAGTATTTTAGTTTTAGACAGTTTCAATTTAGATAAAAGTAATTTCTTTATTTGATTCTGTCCAGTCCTAATTTGTGAAATTTGAATTTGGGCGAAAACATTTTCCTATATATTTCTTTAACTATTTCAAAAGAAAAAACAAGTCATGCATTCACTCGGATTGTGTATAACCTCCTTGGCATTTACCATGCAGGTTTGCACTGGTGTGTGTGGGCTCAGAGTCATCTTCCAGGAAGTTGATGGAGCTGCTGTCGAAGAGGGAGCTCCATGGTCAGAATCCCATCGTCACGCCGTGCAACAAACAGTCCCTCAGCCAGTTTGAGATGCAGTCACGCAAAAGTAAGTAGGCGTAATGTACACATGAGATTGCTTTATATTTGACACTTGATGAGAATTATTTGAACATGCATGCTTGTCACCATGTATATTTAAAAGGACCTATGTTTGCAAATGCTCTAAGAAATTGAAAAATATTAAGTAACATCTTGTCATTTTGCAATGCATATGTTTGTTATTATTTGACATTGATTTTAAAACTCAGTTAGCGTTATCCCCTCATTTCCAAGGTGCCCAGTCAGGCCAGATGTCCGGGGAAGGCAAAGCCGGCCCCCCTGGCGGTGGCCTTCGTGGAGGAGGTTTCCCCATGGGTCGAGGCAGAGGCAGATTCCCCGGACCACCGGGACCTGGAGGCGACCGCTTCCCTTGTCCACCCGGACCCGGAGGACCACCTCCACATTTCCCTGGTTAGTTTGGCCTCAGTTTGCTGTTATAACATTGTGGCAAGTTCATTTAGCCAATGACATTATCCTTACTTCCCTGTCTCCTAATCTCATTAAGAGATTTAAGTCATTTTTATCACGTCTTCACTGGAAAATCGCATATTTCTCATTGAAGTAGATGCAATACATTTTCAGTCTCAGCAGTTAAAGCGAATTCATGCTGTGAATAAATACACATAAACACAATTCTGATTTCTGTCTTGCAGTGCTGCTCTGTAAGGACAGTCTAGGCTTTGCTTCTACTAACCCACATGGAACCAGAAATAGTCTATTTTGGTGTGTGTTTGTGTGTTTTTAAAAAAAAAATCTCTCTTGACAGTGCTGTGTTTTTGCATGTCCCCCCATCTGGTTTGTTAAGTTGTCCCACTTCACCTGTAGTTGAACAAATAATCTTTCCCTGGCTGCAATCTTTCTGCTCACTGATTATTTCCAACAATCCATTCCTTGAGAAGCAGTTTTCTCAAAGCTTTACTTGGCAAGCTACCAAACCTAAACTCCTAGCAAATCTTGGATTGGCTGCCGTGAGAAACAAAGTAGGACAGCGTGGAGGTGCCAGCCTTTTAGCATTTTTGCATCTTTTCCCACCTCTTTCACATGTCCCCTTTTGCTTAGTAGCTTGTTCCCCATGCTGCTGGGCTGAGGCAGGCCTTTGGTTATTGAGGGGAAGGGTATGAAGGAAAAAGTTGTGATTGGTTTGCTTTCTTCCCCATTAGGCTCGGGAATGAGACCAGACCTGATTAGGCACCAAGATGGCCCTCTGATGGATATGAGTTTCAATCCCTTCCCGCCGGGGGGCAGGAACGGGAACTGGCGTGGCAGAGGTGAAACACCTCAATTCAATTGATCGATCACCTTTTTAAACCTGACCCTAATTTCTTTCCGAACTACCTTAATAGTCAAATTGCATTTAATCCTTTCGCCGAGAGTTGCATTCTGTTTGGACTAAGAGATTTGTTTTATTATCATTTGAGGTTAGTTCAGATCAGAAATTCACAAAATATGCTCCTGAAAAGCAAACTGAAGAGGCAGGATCCCACAGTACGTTTTTTAAAGATCATCCTGCATAGAGAAGCACAGTGACGCTTCCTAAAACCCGGAAGTAAGTTAGCATTTTTACCACTGCTGGTTCCTTCGACAAAAAGCAATGGGATATCTGGGAATAAGGTCTGTGTTTGACATAAATTGAAGAGACAGATCACGTTTTGTTCTACAACATTAAATACATCAGCAGTGACCCCGCTGGTGATTCTTGAAGAGTTTCCGTGTCTGAGAAACGATGGTTGTTACCAAGTGGCTGAATAGGACTACAGAAGTTGTCCAGGCCGTTTTACGACATTACACCGAACACGTAAACACTCCCGCTAAGTTTGTTTGCCGTGTTCTGCTTGAAAGCAAGTCCCTGCCTCCTGCAAACTGTTAAAACAAACGCTTCAACTTGTACAACTTTGAATCTGTAGTTTTGAATATGGATCTTAAGTTGGCGTGACGTTGAAGCAGCGACCCTTCTGTAGTTCCTTTTATAGCATAACGTTAGCATTTTGCTTCTGGCGACTAGATTTATGATTCGAAAATGATAAAAGTAGGATAGACATGTGGAGATTATCCGGCTGAACAAAACGTGATCCGTCTCTTAAATGTGTTTCAACCACAGACCTGTGTATTTTCAAATTCTAGTGCACTCGAGCTGGTTTCTCCAAAATTACCTACCCCACCTTTAAGTCATATATTCATATTTCTGGTCTCATTTTAAAACTAGTAAGCTTAGCAATATGAATCTCTCGTAAGCAATTGGCCATTTAACAGTAAATAGGAGTAAACATAGTGATAATGAAGTAGTTATTAAGTGCCGATTATTTAAATAGACAGCTCCATGCTATATAGTCAGGTAAATGTAGAATGCCAAGCCTCACTGTGCTTTGAGGTATCCTAGCGTAATACAATGATATATGGCTTGTTGGTGTGAGTGTTTTTATATACAGCCCTCAGGTGGCCACAAGCTCAGTTAGCCAACGTCAGACAAACTTGACTCGGTTGCTCTTGTATCTGCGGTTCACAGACATGTTCCATCAGCATTGACTTGACTTTAGAACCTGGATAAAATACTTGCTTGAAACAATACAAGTGTTTCTCGTCATCTGGTTTGTTGCCATCAGATTTTATTTGCAGCATTATTTTTTGGCCTTTTGACATGTGTTGTTCCCTGTAGCTATGGCTTTCTCTCCCATCTGTGTTGGTGTCCTTGATTTGAACTGCCCTATATCAATGATTAATTCAAGGACTATTAATTGTCATTCTGCAGCACAGGGTTGCACAACCAAATGCACTAGTAGTAAATGTGTGCTACACCAGAAAAACCAGACAAATACAACACAGCAGTGTGTTAATTACCTGCGGGTATCTACATCAGAATAAAATAATGGAAAATACTGGATGTGGCAGGATATTAAATTCAGAGCTGGTCCAATTATATTTTCAAGTAGAAAAGTATTGGTGGTTTTAATACTAGCACACTTATTCCCCAAGCATGCACTTAATATTTGGGAGATCTCTACACAATAACCATGACAGTGTTTTCTGGATCTCACTCTGTCTCATGCCATGCGTTTTGTCCACTGTGTTCTGTTTTAGGTGGGATGCAAGGTCCACCACGTCCCCCTCCTGGTCCACTCGGACCCCCTGGTCCACTCGGACCTCCACCTCCTGGCCAGGGTCTCCCCCCTCTCCACCCTGGTCCTCCAAATCGTGGTGACAGGCTTCCTCCCCCTGTTCTCTTCCCTGGTCAGTTTGGCCAGCCTCCCATGGGCCCCCTGCCCCCAGGCCCCCCACCTCCAGGTTACGGTCCTCCTCCTGGTCCCCCACCGCCTCAACAGGGCCCACCTCCCCCGGGACCCTTCCCTCTGCGCCCCCCAGGCCCCCTTGGGCCCCCAATGTCTTTGGCTCCACCTCCACACATGCCAGGTCCTCCACCAGGTGGACCACCACCAGCACCCCATGTCAACCCTGCATTCTTCCCCCCACCTGGCAACAACAACAACATGCCCCCCAACGACAACCGAGGCCCCCCCGGACCAAACGACCTATACGGACGCCCGCCACCATATGACAGAGGGGACTACGGTCCTGGAGGCCGGTAAGAAAGGATGGTGGAGGACAGACTAATAAACATTACATATAATCGCTCAGCCTTTGTTAACAATTCATTTGTCCCACAAAGAAAGTTTTTTTTAATGATAAAATGAAGTTGCTAACTCTGAAATGTGTTGTTGCACTGGTTGCAAGATTACTTTTTTATGTAACTCTGGGACCTAACAAGTACTGTGACTTTTGTGTGAATTTGTAGGGAAATGGAGGTGTCCCGGACCCCACTGAGCGAGGCAGAGTTTGAGGAGATCATGAACAGGAACAGAGCCATCTCCTCCAGCGCAATTTCTCGAGCAGTGTCTGACGCCAGTGCAGGTGACAATTCCAATAATATAGGAATATACTTCTCATGTACTTATTTACTGTGGGTGAGCCCATATATGATGCCATTAGTCCCTTGAAAGGCGCTATATAAATCCAAGCTATTATTATTATTAGAGAACAACTGATAGCCAATGCCACCTTCTGTGTCCTTTAGCTGACTATGGCAGTGCCATAGAGACCTTGGTGACAGCCATCAGTCTGATTAAACAGTCCAAAGTGTCGGCGGACGACCGCTGTAAGGTCCTGATCAGTTCCCTGCAGGACTGTCTCCACGGCATTGAGTCAAAAAGCTACGGTTCTGCCTCTAGGTAAGATGTTCATTTTGGGCCATTTTTATATTCAATGTGACACTATACTGAGTGTATCTAAATGTCTTCCTATTGGGAATTGGCCCTGGAAGATTTGGTATTTGAAACTTTTAAACCCTTGTACACAGTCCAATGATGCTTCTCAATGCCAGACGAGAACGTTCCAGGGAACGGGACCATAGCCGCTCCAGAGAAAAGAGCCGGCGTCACAAGTCTCGCAGCCGCGATAGGCATGAAGACTATTACAGAGAACGCAGCCGGGAGCGCGACCGCCATCGTGAGCGGGACAGGGACCGAGACCGCGAGAGAGAGCGCGAAAGGGAGTACCGACACCGCTAGACGATAAGAAAGGTGGGTACAACATTTCCTGTAGTATTTTGTTCTGTAATAAACTCTCCTGTCTTTTTCATCACTACATCTTTTAGACATAACCAGACCAGTTCAGGCGCTAATAGCCTAATCTACATGGCAGAAGATGTCTTTAAAAAAAATTCTGCTTTGATTGCTCACCTCCTCTCTTCTTCAACAAAGGTTTCAGTTGAGTATGAGGCAATGATGCCTTTTTACTCATAAAATAGCATAAAAAAAGCTTTTGAACATTTTAGCAATATTTGAAGTCATCATTTACAGTAGAGAAGGAAGCCATAGTCTATTTATTTGTCCCACTAAGAATGTATGAGAAAAGTGACTAGGAGAGATGAGGTAAGCAAGAAAGAGTCTTTTAAAACTTTGATTTAAGGTAGGTATAAGGTAAGTCTGCTTTCCTCAAAATGTCCCCATTTGTATTGAAGTTTGTGACGTGAATATGGTCTTGGTCACAATATGTGTAATACACAACTACTGTAATCATCATGCTGCATTGCGCAGAAGGGTTTTGTAAGAGTTGTATCAATGCTGTGGTTCTCAGGAAGTTGACTTTATGGATGCATTGTAACCTTTTTGTCTACATGCCTTTGAGACTGGTAATCTGCAAAAAAAAATCTGCCTCTCTTTGTGTTCTGCCATATCCATTCCAAAATAAAAGCATCATTTAATTTACTTATAAAACCGCAACAGCCGTTTTACATCTACATATTTGTCTGGTTGGTAAAGTGCTGTACGTGCTCTGCCTTTTTGTCAGTTCAGATGCATCAGATCCATAGATACACTGTTGCTTATGTTAACATCCATCCAGCTCATAAAAAGAGGATTTTGTTTTTGATTTTTGCCAGCCTCTTTGGCCAGTGGACCACAAAGTAGAAGCTTCTTCTGGCTTAAATATAAAGATTTAATACTAAATTGACATTTCATTGAATGTGAGTTTAATTGAAGTGTATTGTGACAGCTGAGTTGGTTTGTCAGTGTGATTGTTATAGTAGTTCCTTGACTGATTGGCAGGTTTGGCATGTCAAAGTATTCCCTACAGATTTAGCATTTTGTATCATCTGTTCAAATTGGGATGTATTTTTAGAAGAAGAAAAATCCAATGTTTAATTTGTTGATGGGGCAACATATACTTGGTAAATGTTTTATTCGCGTATAACTGAGAATGTCATTTTGCCACATTTGCATGTCAGTAACATTTCCTGACATTTTACTATTGTCAAATTCAATGTCTTGTAATTTAGTGTTGCTAACCTGTGAATAATTGTACCTCAATTTAAGAACCTGAGGTGACGTAAAAATACCTTTTTGATATCATGTTCTGACAACATAGACCTTGATACCCTGAGCACAAGTAATGTGTAAAAAAACGTTTGAGACATTGCATTTTCTAGTTGAGTTGCCTGATTCACTCAAACTGAAATTTCCATTTGAATACTTCTGATATTTTTGATGTGACTTTTATGTTCATTGAAATTATTTCCATTTCGGCCGCAGTATAGTAACTGGCTTTTTGGATTATGTTCTGGGTCAGTTGCTGATAAATGTATACGGAAATATTGTTTAGGCCAATTGTCGCTTGGTGTTGAGGTTTTCAAATCATTATGTAATGTTTGTGGATGGATGCTTTCTTCCATGGCGTCTCTTGCGTGTTTAACAACATGATACTTTTGCAAAAACCTGTAGATGAAATATCTGATTTGAACGATTTTGTGTTGTCCTCTTGCCCTATACGGCAAAGCCCTTATGATGTCTGTGGTGTTGTTTAATAACCAGAGCTCATAGAGCAGACTCTAGAAGCTTCTGCATCTCAGTCGCACATCCCCCCAAATCATTTTCTGATATAGAATTGATTTACTCTCTACATAACCTACATTCACTTTTGACAACTTCAATATAGTGGCTCTATCCATCAGACACATTATTTATAAAAGATTCCCTTTTCTGATTCTTTAAAGGAGTTAGTTTTTCTCTATTTGAACATGAAGCATTTGTATAGTTTCACAGTTGTAATAATTAAATGTAAAAACCTTTTCCTAAATGCTCTTTTAAAGCAATGCATTTGATTATAGCATTACAACATGAATGACTGCAGCCTCCTCTAACACACACGTTGTTCTCTCTGTTAGATAATAGATCCCCAGTGGACACAGGGCTTAATCACTAAGTATATTTTTACCTAAATGTCTGCAGAAATCCCAGTTTGTATTCATTCTTGATACCTTTTTTAGATCATGGTAATTGGGGGGTGAAAAAGCGAATTTGGCCCTTTTTATCCTGATGGTAGTGTGGCTATTTGTTGTGTCCACAGATATGCTTAAACATTGTTTTATCTGTTCATATTGCCATGGGGGGATTTTCCAGGCTGACATTTTTCTCATCGTCACAAGCCTGATGTACTTGTGAAAAAAACCATATTATCCGCTCATGTTCAACCAGGGTCAAACAGAGTTTCTTTGACTATGTCAGCACTTAGTATTTATGCCCATTTAAGAAAACAAAATCAATAATAAAACATTTGACTTGAATATTTGTGACACTTAAAGATGGCCTATGCACAATGTTAACATTCACCCAATTTGCCTTCAAACATTTGTAATGCTTTGTTTAGTTCCCCGTATAAAGATCAACCAATCAGCCTTGTAGATATCACAGTGAGTAGAATTGCTAAGGTGTACATTTTTCTACACCACCATGCAATAGCAATTTTTTTTGAATGCCTGAAGCATTATTAGTAGTATTTCTGAAGATTATTTGATATTCTAATCTTTTCAGTAGAACATTTGTAATGATAAATTACACATGCGTTGTGTTTTATAAAAGTTGAATCCGTTGATTTGATGGACTGTTTGACCCTGGTTTGGCTCTGTCCTTATTCATTTCCATGCTTTATTAGATGACACGCTGCTACACATTACATATCTTTAAGAGTAGAACATGTTTGAATCTTATTTTTGATATGGCAAATTATGATTTGGTCTGCTTTGTAATTGGCTGTTGACAAGGTTCAGTCATGCCCCTCTCCCCTTTTATAAATAATAGTGTGACTAGGATTAACTTTGTCTTCTGTGTTTGGTATTGTCGGTTTTATAACATGTAAAACCCTATGTACAGCAAAAGAATGTTCAAGTTTCAATATACACTTTAAATCGCCTGTAAGTAAGGCTTTCCTGGTGCATAAACTAACTCTAAATTCCCCATGTAAAGCAAAAACCTTGCATTAAATTGGATTTAAAGTAATAGAGTAACTAACAAATTTGACTTTCTGTATCAGAACTGTTGACGTTTCATCTGATGAATGTTACATTCCATTTGAAGTGCTTTAAGTGGACCTCTGATACATACCGTCCTCTTGGTAGTTTTGTGTTTGTATCTACAGCTCTTTTTGTCCTTTCTGTGTCTTTTACTACTATATTGCTTCATTTCCGGAAACGTTGGCTGTGTCACAGTGGTTCAAGTTTTCAGTGTCTAGCTTTGTATTCAATGCCTGCCATTACCATTACCATTTGGATTTAAGATACATGTGTTCTGGGAATAGCTGTATGACAAACGTACAGCCCAGTGTTATGGGTAGTAACCAACCCTAAACATAATGCATTCTAGGGATGGGAATTTAAAAGCAAATGTATATTTGACCCCCATAAAAACGGTTAACCGATGAACTGAAATGTACACATCGTATAAAAAAAAAGAAGAAATAAATAAATACATGTTCAAAAAAGTATAGAAACCAAGTCGAATTTGTCAAATGTATTGAATAGGTGATCACAGTTTGAACAGTTGACAGCTATAGGCCTACAGCTTTCATGCTTAAAACATAACTTAGTTTTTAAATTAAAGAGGGATCATACACGAACAACATTACGGGTTAGGATAACGTAACCCTATTACAACAGAGGCTATTCAATACTCATTCTTGTTTAAGAATATGAGCATGTCTACATGCTCAGGGGAGAGGCGGGTGCGGAGGCGATTCGCTGTAGAGAAGACCCTCTCAGCTGGAATTTGGGCATACGATGAGGTTTGAGCGGAGCAAAACACACCTTTAGACCTAACACATTTAGCTATGGCACTGTCGTATACATTGAATTATTCCATTTGATAATATGTAATCAACTTAGGCGCCCCTCCCAAAAAATGTTTTTAAAAAATTACAATAAAAATATTCATAACTCATATTCGAAGACCTGAATAATTTTGAATATTCGATTAATCGTTCCCATCCCTAATACATACCAATGAATAATTTAGAAGTTGTTGAAACGGGAGAGGGCAAGTCTTTTGGAAAACCACTGGGGATTGGAGAATTTAACAAATGTACCAGAATCTTTGCAAATTGCACTAGGCGTACAGTATGCTACACAAAACCGAAAATATGCTGCACTATGCAGGAGTGACCCTGTAAAGCCAGGAGTCTAGTTAAATCCTGTCTTAGCCCTTTCTATCAGCATATTCCCTTTATCCATTCATCTGAAATGTAGTGTACATTATAGTCGTGCTTTGTGTCACGTTCAAGCATCTATATATTAATTTACACACACACATTTATATAATACACATTTTTAATCCATGTCTCCAAAACACAAATAAAGTACATTTAGGCCTGGGCTTGAAAGCATATTGTTTCATTTTCTGGTTTGTGTATATACTGATAGATTTCCTTCTTGTCCTGTTAAAGTTTGCATGACATTGTTTCTCTGTGTCTGTCCCAGGGTTGGGTGCAATACAACGTCTACAGCAGTGATTGTCCTTATATTGTATTATACAATTTATATGCCCTATTTTCACAGACCGTTTAATTGTGTTATGACCATACTGTTGTAAGCATAACAGTAAATGGACATGTGTAACTCACAGTGATGCTGAATTGCACCCAGCCCTGGTATGCACTATGTATGTGTAGTGTAGAGGTTTAATGATGAGGGGGGGTAAAGTGTTCTCTGTTGGGCTGCCTCCAAACCAAACTCCACCCTTCGTTTTGGCCCCCTTTAGCTAACGAGGATCATGGATGGATGGAAGGAAAAGGAGGAAGGATTTCATTGCGCCACCACCTCCCCGCTCTGCATGACCGGACAGGATCAAAGCACCACCTCCTCCTCCATCTCTCCTGTCCACCATACTTCTCTCTTGTCTGTTCATTTTGTCTGCCTGAATAAGAGCAGTGGATGGAAGACCCTGACCTGTGTAAGGCTATGTTATCCAAACATCTATACTCATGTTAACTAAAGATGAAAGAAAAGAAACTTTCCAGACAGTTCTTTTATTTTTATGATGTTTTATTTGACAAGAAAATGACTGTGTGATGCTTTTTTTTGTTGCGAAGAAACGATAAAATGGCCCACCGATTCCTTTCTAGAAGACACAAACATCACATCCCGTTTGCTTTTTATTTTCCATTGGCTCGCTGTACTGTGTACATTCAGTTTAGAGATCAGTTTTTATAGGGTACATATTTGGTGTGTTCTCCCCACCCCCTCCTCATTCTCATTTATTCTTTTTGTTGTTAGAATGTTTGTAAATGTCTGCTTTTGATTAAAAACTAGATGGTGTTGTAATAAAAAATGTTTACTGATGTACTTGATGCAGTTGGTGAATTCCTCTACATGTTTGGCTCATTTATATTAAATGTGTATTTTGGACTGCAAACTTTTCATAATGAATGTCCACCTTTAATTTTTATTTTTTTCCTAGCTGTATTAGCAAACGGCTCTATGGTTTTGGAAAAACAAATCTTTTTTTGTTGTGTTCTTTTCTCTAAATGGAAAAAACTTTTAAAAGGTAAGATGAATGTACTTTATTGCAATGTGAAATGATGTGTTGCTGGGAAGATGTGTAGACCTTAAACAGGTTGAAGCGCTAAACTATTTCAGGCAGCTCTGGTACACACATACCTTGACCAAAAAACAAGAGGCAAATGCTGTTTACAAAGTGGTTTCTGTTGTGTCTAATCGCACTGACTAGCTATCGCCACAATCTCCCTATTCAAATTTGTCTTATGTTCTGATGTGAAATATGTTCTTAATCCATATAACTTCAACCAGGGATTGTAGTAAACATGTAATTGGTGATTTAAATTCTAAATTAGATCCTCCATTTCAAGTACATTTGACTTTTTTTCCGTGCTTTTACACCATTTTGTCCACATTTTTGTATATTCATGTGTAACACTTGGCCCTGTCACTCCACAACATAAGCAACAGATTCAGTGCAGGGTCTTTATAAGCAACTTCTTAAACATGCTGTCTGCACCATCTCACTAACGTTGTCATATGCACGGCATCATGTCTTTCTTTCCTACACCCATAATGTTTGTCTTGCATTTTTGTTAGGCTGTGATTGTATACACTTTGTGATACAGAGCTTTTAGTTGGTAGTATTAAGTAGAGCGTTTAGGCCAATAAGCACTGAGGTTCATGTCTGTTTTTTTTACTGTCTGATCAATATTTTTAATTACAAAATATATTTGGCGTAGATAACCTGATATTTGACATTGGCCAGTCCAGTTGTTGAATTTTAGTAAATAAAAATTGGGGAAAAAATATTTGTGGTGCTGCAACAGTGTTTCATCAGAGGGTTTGATATTGCTGTTTGTTCCATGTGTACTCCATAACAAAGACATGGATAAAAAGAGACTCAAACTGACATTGTTGATTAACACTGATATTGACAGCTTAGCATAACTATTTAAATGGTCAACAATAACTTTGTCTCAATCTTTTTTTATGTGTTGTCTTATTTGAGATCATTGGTTTACTTGTCAAGATATTTGTCTTTCCTTTTTATATCAGTCTCGATTCAAATGCACAACCTTCTCCTGAAATATTGCATGCCTAAAAGTATTTGATGATTGTAAGGATTGTTGACGCCACCTATTCATTGTAATGGCTTCAGAATCATCTGATCAAAAAACAAGTTGTTAACTTTGTAAAGCCAACCGCTATTTTAAATCCCCATGCTGCTCTTTTAATCTTGCAAACAGTATACTTTAAAAAGTGTTTGATATGCACTGATATTAATCATTATGCACCCATAACCTTGTAAACTCTGTAAAAGACTAATGAAACATTGTAAATTAGGGTTTTGTAAAAAGAAAATGCCTGATTGAAGACTCTTTTGTGCCTTACAAAGCCTTTATTGTACATTGACTTTATATACATTTTGTGATCTGAAAACGGTTTCAATCGGTGTCATCCTGACATAGGTCAATCAGACATAGGTGTCGCTGTGTATTTGTTGCTTTGTGCTCTCCACAGCGCTGAAGGTAAGTGTTTTCAGGTCCTCGTCCCTGCAGAAGGACTGATTCTGAACCCAGATCCAGACTTTACCTCACAATCAAATGGAAAGTATATTTTTGTGTATGTATTTGTAGTATTTGACAAAGTATATTTTCACTAAATATTCATCTTTGGCTACTTTAAAACCAACAGTAACAATTGATTTGAAAAAAAGCCATGTGAAACTTGACAAAGGTGTTCCGAACCTTTAAAGGTACCTGGTGATGGCAGTTAAAGTGTTTTACCTGTAAATATAATCGATCAGCATGGCAATGCAAACTTGCACTTTAACACGTAGGGTATGAAACGTTGAGTCTCTATGATCAGATATTATTGTAACTTGGGTTTTTTCTATGATTTGGGTAACTTTTAGATTATTTCCAGGGAGGACTGTTATAATGCTGCTAGTAATGATTTGTTCCATTTACAGTTTCCCTGACAGGGAGAGACAGCTTGTAGCCAAAAGTTATCAAATGGCCATTAGTAAAATAAATAAAAGATTTGTAAATGCAGTTTGGTTTCTTGGCTTTCCTTCGTGCACGATTAATCTAATTGGTATTCAGAGAAGGCTGCAGTCAGGAAGGGCTATCATCAATTACTTCTAGGCAGTCTATGGAAATACAAATGATTTCTGCACATTATCTACATTCTACAATAACCTCGGTTTCTAAATCCACCCCCGCCCCCAAATAGATAGAGGTTCAATACACAAATTATGGAAATAAAATGTTTTTTAGAGGCAAGGACTTTTTTGTATGTAACTTACTACGAGATACTTTCACTAAGGGACGTTCACTGATACATTTTTATTTTAGGTATAAGTATTGAGGTTAAAGAGGGTTTACTTTATATCACCATTTTCAAGGACATCATGCTATGAATATATGCGATTCAATTATCAATAAAAATAACATTCTTGAAATTATATATACATATACAAATAAATGCAACGTTATTGTGCCCGGAACCTTCTGGTAGCCGTGTCTCACTCCTGCCGTGCAAGTTAGCATGTTGCACTTCCGGTGCTTGTTTGGCTGGTAGTTTAAAATTACAAACGCTGGCTATATGAAACACACTTTTAATGCTTAAATGGCAGCTATACTACATGTGGATACCCGCCTAGGAACAAGAAGAGTCCTGTAGAGTGAACACAGAGTTGAACTTCTCTCTCTATCGTACTATGTTCAAAAAGATGACTGAATTTGGTCCAGATTCCGGGGGGAGAGTGAAGGTAACACTGGAGCTGTCTGCGGTTACATTAACTCACTGTGTTGCATTACTTCTCTGTACGGTAGTTCATAATTACACCAATAAGGAATGACTAACGATAACCACTGTTTTTCTTCTTCTTGAATGTGGGAGTATTTGAACAGGAACTGATTAATTATATAATAACAACGTGATGTTTCCCCTCTGTGGTCTGCAGGGAGTAACCATCATTAAGCCCATTGTGTTCGGGAACGTTGCCCGTTACTTCGGGAAGAAGAGAGAGGAGGACGGACACACACATCAGTGGTCTGTCTATGTGAAGCCTTACAGAAACGAGGTGAGACATCCGGATCACACCAAGGATATCAAATACAGCAGTGTATGTTAACACGCTCGTCATTTCAAAGATATTGGTCTTCTACTTATTGTCATGTTTCCCCCATGTCTCCCAGGATATGTCTGCGTATGTGAAGAAGATCCAGTTCAAGCTTCATGAGAGCTATGGTAACCCACTGAGAGGTGAGGAAACCACAGGATGACCACAGGCAGTAACTGCATCCCAATGTCTCTGTGATTTAGAGGGGATGCATTGTTTCTTGTGAATTATTTTACATTATGAGAAAATGAATTTTTTTACAAATGAGAAAAAGTGATTGGAAATGGATAGTACAATAAATAAGCCAGGTTGGTTTAAATGTAAAGGTAATTCAAATGTGTGATCAGACAATAAAAATACTATATGCGTGTGTACAAATACTTCTCTCTGCCTTCCAGTGGTGACGAAGCCTCCGTATGAGATCACAGAGACGGGCTGGGGGGAGTTTGAGATCATCGTCAAGATCTTCTTCATTGACCCCAATGAGAGACCTGTGAGTGCCTAATATATATTTTGATTGAGCTGCTTGGATTCCTAATATTCAATATTCAACACATGATAAGATTAGTATTCAAGCCAGTGTGACAAAATAATGTAAAACTTGTTTTCCTTGTGTGTGTGTCAGGTGACTCTGTACCATCTGTTGAAGCTCTTCCAGTCAGACACCAGCGCCATACCGAAGAAGACGGTTGTCTCTGAATTCTATGATGAAATGGTACTCCTTCCTTTGTGCTCGGGTTTTTGAATTGTCTGAATGTTAAGTATTTCTTTAATTAAATTGCTAGGCCCATCAGTTATAGTGATATACTAATATCTAATCTTGCTACCATAAAGGGAAATGCATGAATCACATATTGTTTACCGTCCACACTTAGAGAATTAGATGTTCACACTGACATGGCATCAGTATTTTAAAGGGGACCTATCAAGCAAAATGCACTTTTTGATGTCTTTCATACATAAATATGTGTCCCCGGTGTTTCAGGGAATACACAAAGTGTGAGAGAGTATGTGTAAAAAAGCAGGACATAAAAAGGAACTCACCTTGTTGTAAACCCGCAAGAGAAAAAGCATTTGAGCTCCGTACTGTTTCAGAAATAATCCTTAATGTGGTTTGGAACATGATATGGTGTTTCATCACGGTAGCATTTAGCAGAGAATCTCTCGGTAGAATTCTGAGCAGGCACAAGCTCCCCCTCCTCTTTTTTTTTTTTTAAGCTAAGGACCCAGATCAGCCATTCTCTAACATGCCTGAAATAGAGGGATATGAGGGATGTCTAAAATGCATGATCTGTTTGGTATTTTTCTTTGGCGGAAATCGTGCTCCATTTAAGGCGGGGCCTCGAATATGACGCACACCTGTTAGCCTAACCTGCCATAAGGCCCTGGGGCCTATTTAAACAACAAATCAAAGTCATTTATAGCCTCGGCAGGCTCTGTGATCGCACTTCTCCACTCTGCTCTATGCGCGCCTGGTCCTCGCCTCCAGATGAGTGACGTATCGGGCCTCCCTCATGTATCTGTCCGGTTGCCGTTGGCTCCCCTCCACCTAGCAAGTCCTCGTCGTCCTCTCCATCTCCTCCAACAGATAATGTCCCTCCTGTCTGTTTTTCCTCTCCCGCTACTCCATTGCTATCGGAACCAGACGGCCCTCCGAGGCCTCGCGGCCGGCACCGCTACCGCTCGGTACAAAACTAATCTGTCCTTCCTCCTCATCCTGGCCTACAGGTTTAAAATAACCTGTAAGCTTCGGCATTTTTTGTAATCGCTGCTTGTCTCAAAACTCCCTTTCCCTCAAAAATTTCCTTTTCCGAGCGCCTTTCTCAAACTTTTTCTTCTCCGACATTTTCCCTTACATTCATAATTTCAGCGAAGGGAGGGGAAGCGGCGCTGTGGAACAGCAGAGTGGCGAGGGAGAGCTGTCTTCTTCCCTTTACAAGCTTCAAAAATGTATTTATCGTGTGATTTTGGAAATAAGTTTCATATTCTGAAAGCCAAGACTTTGTTTATTTAAAAAAAAATTAAAAACACCCGAAATAAAAAAAATTAAAAAATTGGGAATTTTTTTATTGTCTCATGATAGGCCCCCGATCTCCAGGCCCCAGCTCAGGTCAGCCCGTGCATTAAGGCGGCCCTGCTGTTAGCCTGTTCCACAATTCTTCGTTTTCTGAGGCTAGGAAGGATTCTTGCCTTGCTTCTGAAGCAAGTGTGCATGTGCTACCAAGCAAGCATCCTCGACATTGAGAAACACCCAGGCCGTTTCTCAATCGCGAGGATGCTTGCTTTGTAGCACATGTCTTCCGAATCACTTGCTTCAGAAGCTAGACAAGAATCCTTCCTGGCATTGGGAAAACAAAGAGTGGAACAGGCTAGCAGGTGTGCGTCATATGAGAGGCCCCCGCCTTACATTTTCCGCCACAGATTTGGGGAAATTGGCCCGTGCGCAAAGCATTGTGGGGATTTTAAGGACGCAAAGTCTACCCATGTGCAGCCTCGAAATTACCACCAAACCAAGGACGCGGGCTTGGTGGAATTCCAAGTATGCTGGAGATTGGAACAGTCCTTCGGCAGCACTCGATGACGTAGCATCCTTGAAATATTGGCTTGGAAGCCAGTTTCCTCGAGATTGAGAAACGGCCCCAGTGTGTGTGAGGGTGTACTTTGAGGGTTTGTGACTTTGCAGACCGTTTACATGCATAAAAACGGGTAATAACTGAAAAAGAATGACATGGGACCTTTTTAAGGTGTCCGAAAATGACAATAAAATAGCGGTATGAAACGTGTGTGAAGCAGAAATCCTGCAGCTCCACCCGCTGTGACGGACCGGTGAGCAGAGCAACACACACTAATGGCGCATTTCCACTGCAGGGCCTCACACGGCTTAGTATGGTATAGTTAGGCCTTGGTAGGCCAGGCTCACTTTATGCTGCGTTTCCATTACAGTTTAGGAACTAGGGTAGTAACTATAGTAACGCAGTGTAGGCGGAGCCGTGACGTCATCTTCAATGCGAAACACAAAAACAACATCAGCCGTTAGCTGTTAGCTCTCAGAGCTCACAGCTCCTCATATCTGTTCAGAAACTAGACAAAAGTTAAACAAGTACAAACCACAGACTGCCTGTGTCATGGCGAATACAGTCGCTGGTTTATTTATGTCTGGAGGCCGTTGTTGTGAGTGTGGACAGTCGGAGCATATACAACGTTAGCTTAGCCGAACTCTATTCAGAAAAACACGCATTTAAAAAGGTTTCTCGCCTGACGTCTTTTCTGCAGACTTGTCAAAGCATTGATTCATGGTTTTTACTAACCGGTATCAGTATGTTGTTACTTCGGCATCATTTTGAAACGTGTATTACAATTAAATCACGGTCAAATATGTTCATTTTGTTGTAGTTGCCAGCGATTCTCTCACTAGTTTAGCATACTCAGCCCAGTTGTTGGCCCGGAAAGAACCTCGAATTTGGAGAGCCAGAAAACTGTGAAAAAGTACTCGCTAGCCGGAACTACGCCTAGTGGAAGCGCAACCAAAAACAGGCCAGGCACGGCATTTTTAAACCGCACTGTAGTGGAAATGCGCCAAAAGAGTTAGACCTAACACACGTAGCTATTGTATCTACTTCTGGAACAAGCTAAACTAGTTATACATATGTTTATTCTTCACTGTTGGGTCCCTCATTACTGGATCAGTGAGCTGCATGAGATACTGACGGGCTGTCAGGAGAGAGAGAGAGGGGGAGAGAGCGCTTCCGCTCATTCCTCCCGTGTTATTATCCAAAGTTAATGTAAACTTGAATAATGTACTTCATTTGAATGTAATAATTATGTTGGTTGTTGTTTGTGGAAGCGCCAGTGAATGAGCCCCATTAACTGAGTTTTAACCATCACTTTAAATGGAAGATCCCCATAGGCCCCGCCCACTCGATCGGATCGTCGATCGGTATCGGCCGATACAGATTCCGGCGATCGGCCCCAAAATTGGCGATCGGAGCATCCCTAGTTTTTTATATTTTTTTTATATATCTGAGACCCATAATGTATGCCTAAAAATGGCATAATAGGAGACCTTTAATGTAATGGGTCTAACTCAGTTTTCTTTCTTTTTCAGATCTTCCAGGATCCTACAGCCATGATGCAGCAGCTACTGACCACATCGAGACAACTCACACTGGGAGCATACAAGCACGAGACAGAATGTATGTACAACAACAATGCACACAAACACATTTTCAGATACCCTAACGGCCCGTCCACACAGCGGCCCGTCCACACAGCGGCCCTTCTGCCCATTCACTTTGAATGGGGGTGACGTCACTTTTCGCCGAACTGCATTGTGGGAAGCAGAGCGGAGCTTTCCTGGCTTTCCATGTTCAACTTTTGAAGCTTCTGAAGCTTTCGGCAGAAGCGTCAGCCAACCAAATCATATGCCAGTACAAGCTCTAGCCAATCAAACCGCTGCTTGTGTGTCAGGGGGCGGGAAATTCATGTGATTGGTTGTTGGTCGAGCTTCAGACACGCCCACAGGCAAGCTTTTTCCAAAGCCGCTGTGTGGACGGGCCGTAATTGTGACTTACTGTTAACCTCAGTACCCTACATAATGGAAACATGTAGTTTGTGTCACTGAACTAAAGAGTTTGAGTCCCTCTCATGCTAATGAGTGCTTGTCCGTGTCTGCAGTCAGTGAGCTGGAGCAGAGGACCAAGGAGAAAATGGACGCGGCAAAGAGGAGAACCAGCCTGGAGATCACTGAGCTGAAGGACAAACTAAAAGCCAGCAGAGAGAACATCAACAGCCTGAAGGCAGAGATCAGGAAGCTGGAGGAGGACGGAGACCACAAGGACCACTGAGGAACGGACATAATGATTCAAAACATTGCTGTGACATATTTTATGATCACACATTTTGTGTTTTAATCGTTTTTCTTTACATGGACCCTCAGAGAAAACATTACAATAATTTTTACATAACATAGTTTTAGTATATCACTGAAACAAGGATTTTGGGATTGTTTCTTTATAAACTTGTCATTGTTGTCTTTTTACCCACACATTGCTTGAACCGCTGATCCAACATTAATCCTGTCCACTCATGTCCATGTTATTGGTACCTGATAAGAGGACAACAGCAAAAGTCATTTTAGCATCCCCACATCCATACCTACCTGAAGAGATGTCCACTTTTGTGTCGGAATGTAAAAAGTGTAATAATTTGGTAATTTTTACTGATCTTTTGATTTTTCTATAAAAAGCAATTGTGTTTACAAGATTTCTTGTATATGTTATTTATTTTGTAACAATTTGGGTTAGATGAGGGTTTATTAAAAACACATGACAAGTGTTGAACTGCAACCATAGTAGCGTCCGGCTAGTCAAGGTTACTATATGACAATATTGTTAAGCATTGTGCACCACAATTGCAAATGTTGAGCAGAGTTTGTCCTGCTTTTCAATCCTGATGCTGTCTATATTTATTTGCAGAATACACCATTTCCCACTGACAGTCCACATACACTAGATGGGTGGGGAAACCAGCTGAAGGTGACTGCATGAGGACTGATTTGGCTGATGAAGTTTATGTTGATTAACTCTTATAGAATCCTTTGAGTGAGAAATGGCTTTTAGGATTGGCATAGGAGTGTTCTGCAAAAGTTGGTCAAATGTAGTGAAAGTTTGCTCTGTGATAAAGCCATTATTGTAACACCATAAACTTCAGCTTAGGTAAAACTGAATGTGCCCTACCATTGTATACATACACGTTTGACCAATACCAGATTTGAGAACAAACGTTATTACATTTCTTAACGATTCAATGGTGATATTGTTTTCGTATCTATTCTAAAGAGGTAATATAGGTCTTTTCATTTGAGCCGAGATTTTCACATTTCCGAAAGCCCCTGAAAGCATCTGGGTGGAATTTCCAACCACCTCAGCGTCCGTACTGAGACTTCCTCGAGCTGTACTAACCATTATGTTTAAATATGCAACTTTATGGCGTCTTTGGGGGATTTATTACAACTTTAAAGCAAATATTGTCTAACACAAAGGGCTATCATGAAGTCAGTGTTGTGCAGGCCGGTTCATGTGTTGCTGGAGGGCGGCTTTAGTAACTTCTCCGAGCGGCTGAAGGCGGCTGTGCTCCGGCTGAAGGCGGCTGTGCTCCGGCTGCCCGCCATCAGGAGGACACATTCAGGGTAGGTGGACCATTTCACCTTTTGTGTAATTTAGTACTCATGGAAGTGTTTGTGTTTGTGGGGGACTTCACCTGTTATGTGACACATTTTCTCAGTTATTATGACTAAAATAATTCTAATTGAACACGGTCACCCTGTGTAATCAGATGTTGCCAACCTTTGACACAGTGCTCATTCATTTGATCACCGAACAGTTCGCGTTATATCGAGCAACAATAACATGGTTTCAAAATGATTCTAATGTAGTGAAGTTTATTTGACTGGATTTCGTTTTAATCTAGTTATAGTTATATATTGTAAAAAAAATCTGGCATAGACCACACATTTTATTTTTTGTGTGCAACCCGCCGTCAGAAGTCAGGAATTAGAAATAAATACACAAACAATTACCCCAGTCATCAAATATGTTTAAAGTAAATTAGATCTCTCTCTATTTTCTCTCTTCTACTAAATTAAATTAGTTAAAGACGTTATTTAAATCATAATTGAAACAATGCAATGTAGGACAAAATAAGTCAGCTATAGCATAATAAAATATAACAGACAAAATAGTAAACTTACTTTTACTAGTTACTTGTGTCTTTATTTATAAAACAGCCCGCGAGAGTTTTGTGGACGGTCACGTGACCAGAGGTTTTTGTTCCTACGTCAGAGACACAGAGCTGATCCTCCGCGCGACTTAACTGCCCAGAGACATCTTTCCACAGCATTCTCTGATGTCTTTAACTTTACACTGGCTAGTGACTTAACAAATACGCCTTATAGCAATGTAAACTGCATTGGAAACACGTAGGGAACCGTATATCTCCTGATAATGCTGTCCAGCTCGCATTAACCTGGTATATGGCTACCGTAAATGCAACAGACATGTCTCCCCGCTGAGAAAACAACCGGTGCTGTTCTGCTGCGTTCAAGTTTTCAGGTAAATTCGGTGAAACCGGTAACAACAGGCATGTTTTGTAGCCTATGGCTGTGCTATTCGACAGTGAGTGGCTTTATGGCATCTTAATCTGGTTTATACTATCTCGGTTTTCCCCCCCAATGGACACATTTTGCTGTGCTGGTGAAAATGTATTTTAGCATAGCATTACTACCTGTGCTTATTTTATTACATTAATAATAAAGCCAGTGTCACATTATCACTACAGACACTACTTTATACATGCTACACTGCTACACTTTCAGTTTTTGTAAATTGTAATTTGTGTAATTTCTATTGTTGTCTTTAATATTTTATGCATGCCTTTTTAATGAATATGTAGCTATGTAATGCTCTTCACTGTGGTTGTTACAGTGTAATGTCCCCTCCGTGGGACGGGTAAAGGTGTTGTGATTCAGTGTTGTTGTTGTTGTTGTCTAACCGGCCTGTTTACATACTTTGAAAAGGAAACAGCTGTGTAAAGATGTTAAGGCAGTTTATCACATGGTCTGGCAGTGAGTATCTCAGGGACACATTCATGTTAGGACTTGTGTGTGTGATGCTGTTAAGTTAATAGCACTAATTTGTTAGCTCACTCTTAGACATTTAACTGCTTTCATGATGGAAACCTGGGCCGGATACATGTTATTATGTACATCCTGTGTGTTTTCTTTGAAATAATTTGGAGACCACACTGTCTGATCAATTAATAGAAAGATTGGATCTACAGAGAAACAGAGGAGAGAAACTCACTTCAGGCTATATTTGTTGCCTATATGATCAGGCACGCTGGCTGCCTACTTTGGTCTTTGTCTGGTTGTGGTCCATAGAGCTCCATTGTTGTCCCAGAGCCTGTGTGTCTGTGCAGTTTAAGTCCATTCATGAGTGTGAGTGCATTATCAGCATAGCTTTAATGTATTGAGTTCCCTCTAAGAGGACACATACTTGTGAATCTTCTGTTGCATTAGTGTGTTTATGTGTGTATACCTGGCAGAGTCCGTAATGTCTCTTAACACAACAGAGGATCCATCAATACCATGCCACAAAAAGACCACATCCCTAATCAATCAATATGGAAGAGCAAACTCACGCAAGTGCCTTTTCTCATGAGTGCATGAAGGAACTATTATGAGGTGATCATAGTAGTCAGTGAGGGTGTGTGCTGCCCTGTGTCTGCTGTGGATAAAAGCAGGATAAGGAAGGTCTGTGATTAGGCTTACTTTTGGAGCGAGTAGGTGCCCACTGCCAACATCAATTTATTTGCTCAGTAAATGTAGGTGTTTCTTCCCCTACCCTTAAACTCAAATGTCAAATTCACCATAATGTTTCCAACCTTTCCTATCAAAGGTCTTATTCCTCTTAAGTCGATCCAGGAATCTTTTATTATACCCCAGGTCTGCACAGCTGAAGCCAGGCCTGATCTCGGTGTAGGTCTCAACTCAAAGTTTAATATTGCACCATCGTGTTTTAGGCGGATATTGTATAATAAGGAATACGTCAGTGCAGTTGTAGCTGTTGCACTGGGCTTTAATATGTTGCAGTGAAGCCTAAGCACATTGCTTTATTTAACGTTGTCTTTTCCAACACGGATTGCCCTTGTTTTTTTAGTATCATGCGTCACAGTACTTCCCATTCAGTATTACACAAGAGGAAAAACACTTCTCTTTGTGTACTTTTATGTGTCACCTACCTCACTTAGCAACTTGTTTCATAATCGTCCTGCAGATGTTATGAGATAAGATTCATATAAAACGGAGATACAATTAACCTTATGCACCATCATCTTCATCATCTTTCTGTCTCATGCAAATGACTACAGTTCAGCTGTCACACGTTTCAAAGAGATCTGTTATCGTTGCTCTGTCAATCTGTGGTTCCACTGACCGAAGCAGTAGCTTGAAGTGTGTGTTTGTGTGTGTAGGCGTGGTGCTGAGCCCATGGAGAAGCCATCATCTTCAGGCAAAGCAGCTCTGGAGGAGAGGAGGGGTCTGGTGGAGGTAAGCAGTCTGCTCAAGGAGACACAACTAGATACTAAAAAGAATACAGTGTGTTTTTAAAATCTCACATTTAGAATGAAAAACATGCTATGCTCATTTGAGAGACTCCTTATTGCCTGGGGATATGTGATTCTGCTAGAGCTCAAAATGTACCTCTATAACAGCAGGCCTTTTGACACAATGAATTAGCATGGAAAATATTGTGAGCTGCTAAGTTCTCAGTGTTGATAAAACTGCCACCCTTCTTAGCGTAACATGACCAAAGTCGCTTTGGATAAAAGCGTCAGCTAAATGCAATGTAATCATGTAAAAAAGTAATCAAATGTCACCAGAAAAGTACAGTTTGCTAATACATTACATTTCGACAACGACATTTCGTTATAGTTTTCTATTAACTAAAACTATCTGCTGTGAAAAAGACTGTTTACAGGCCCTGTGATTGGGTGTATTGATTATTGCTCCACCTATTGATTTTACACTCTTATTATTGAGTTTCATGGGGAGACACATTTGTTAAAGCCTTAGTCAATTCAGAAGGAGCAGTCCAACATCTTATCCCATTGAGATCCATAATGTCTGTTAGGGCTTAAAAAGATTCAAGTTTGAAAATAAAAATCGTAGTAAGAAGTGACCTCCTTAGCCCGCTCCTCATCTCTGCTTCAGGTTTGGCATGTCAAAGTATTCCCTACAGATTTAGCATTTTGTATCATCTGTTCAAATTGGGATGTATTTTTAGAAGAAGAAAAATCCAATGTTTAATTTGTTGATGGGGCAACATATACTTGGTAAATGTTTTATTCGCGTATAACTGAGAATGTCATTTTGCCACATTTGCATGTCAGTAACATTTCCTGACATTTTACTATTGTCAAATTCAATGTCTTGTAATTTAGTGTTGCTAACCTGTGAATAATTGTACCTCAATTTAAGAACCTGAGGTGACGTAAAAATACCTTTTTGATATCATGTTTCTGACAACATAGACCTTGATACCCTGAGCACAAGTAATGTGTAAAAAAACGTTTGAGACATTGCATTTTCTAGTTGAGTTGCCTGATTCACTCAAACTGAAATTTCCATTTGAATACTTCTGATATTTTTGATGTGACTTTTATGTTCATTGAAATTATTTCCATTTCGGCCGCAGTATAGTAACTGG